CGGTAGTCCCAGGGGATCTGGCACTCCCTTCTGGCCTCCACGAGCACTACATGTGGTGCACATGCAGACAAACATCCATAAACATAAGGTTAAGATAAATAGAACTTTATGAACGCTTATGACATGGAGTTCTGAAAGCCAGGGCCTGTCCTTTAGTAACCACGCCAATGTCAGTCTACAAAAAGACAGTGTAAAGGCGTGCTGCATTCTATGACTAAAAGCAATGGGGGAGGGGCGCTGAAGAGAGAGCAGAGCAGTTAAGAGGGTGCCTTAGTTTAATATTGTTGTGCTGAAACACCATAACCAAAAGCAACTTGGAGAGAAAAGGGTTTACTTGCTTTACACTTCCACATCACTGTTCATAAGTGAAGGAGTCAGGATAGGAACTCAAGCAGGGCAGGAACCTGGAGACAGGAGCTGGTGCAAAGGCCATGGAGGAGTGTTGCTTAGTGGCTTAACCTGTTTTCGTACAGAACCTAGGACCATCTTCCCAGGGGTGGCGCCACCCACAATTGGCTAATTAATCTCCCATCAAACACTAATTAAGAAAATGCCCTGGGAGATGGCTCAGTCTTTAAGAACACTGTCTTTTCTTCCAGAGGACCCAGGTTCAATTCCCAGCACCCATATGACAACTCACAAGTGTCTATAACTCCAGGATCCAACACCCTCACACTGACATACATGCAGGAAGAACACCAAAGCACATGAAATAAAAAAAATAAGTTAATTATTAAGAAAATAAAGAAAATGCCCTCTAGGCTTACCCGCAGCCCAGTCTTACAGAGGCGGTTTCTCAGTTGAGGTCTCCTCTCAGCTGACTCTAGTTAGTGAAAAGTTGACATGAAACTACCCAGCAGCTCGACACACAAACACATCACTCTTAATCTATAACCTTTTCTTTCTTGTTCATCCCCAAGATCGTATATTTAAATGTCAAACTATAAAACATTACAAACTTAAAAGGTCCACAGTCTTTACAAATTCAGTCACTTTAAAACTCAGTCTCTCTAAGTAGTGGTGCTCACCTTTAATCCCAGCACTCAGGAGGCAGAGGTCAGCCTGAGCAAGTTCCAGGACTGTCAAGTCTGTTACACAGAGAAACTCTGTGTCAAGAAAAATAAATAAATAAAACTCAGTCTCTTTAAAACTTCAAAATCTTTAGCCCAGGTGGTGGGGCAAACTTTTAATCACAGTACTCAAGAGGTAGAAGTAGATTTCCATGAGTTTGAGGCCAGCATGGTCTACAGAGCTAGTTCCAGGACAGCCAAGGCACAAAAACAAAAAAACAAAACAAAACAACCCCCCCCCCCACACACACACAACAAAGTTCAAAGTCACTCAACTACTGTCTCCAGTAAAATCAAATTACATTACTTTCTTGGGTTGGAGAGAGGGTTCCGAGGTTAAGAGCACTGGCTGTTCTTCCAGAGGTCCTGAGTTCAATTCCCAGCAACCACATGGTGGCTCACAACCATCTGTAATGAGATTTGGCGCCCTCTTCTGGTATGTAGGTATACATGCAGGCAGAACACAGTACACATTATAAATCTTTTTTTAAAAAGTAAATTACTTTCTTATTTCAAGGAGGAAGGACCAGTTGTAAGCACTGCAGTTCAAGCAGAAAGGGATCCTGGGAGCTGGGAGCCAAGGAGTGCTGCCAAGTCACTGTGAGTGTAGCAGCTTACGGCCCCACTCCAGGGAAAGGTTTGCCCTATGGGCAGGAACTCTGCTCAGGCAGGGGAGGGTTTCCTCGGCCAAGCAGTCACAGCTCTGCTCAGGTCCCCTGGAGTGTAACTGCTCTGCTGGGGTGGTGGAGGGTAGGGGGGTGGGGGTAGAGGGGTGGGGGTAGGTGGATGGGGGTTGGGGGTAGGGGGGCAGGGGTAGGGGGTGGGGGTAGGGGGGCGGGGGGGTTTCTCTGGTGAAAGTGTTACAGGTCTGCCTCACACTGCGCTGCTCTAGCAAACGTTACAGCTAGGCCCCACTCAGGCGAAAGTGTCACCCTGTACAACAAACCTCACTCAAGAGATTTATTGGGAAGGAGGCGTCCAGGAGGGTGACTGTGAGAAACAAGTGAACTGAACAGGGTACAGACCTTAAATAGGGTTGGGGAGCTTTCCAGGGTGGCTTGGCATTGGTGGGGGTTTGTGGTCTGATTCTGGGGTAAGCTCAGCGATTGGTGGGATTTTGTGCTCAGGGACCTCGGATGTGGTGACATCTTGTTGTTCAGGCAAACAAATAATGTGTGGAGTTGACAGGAAACCAGCCAGCACAGAGTGCACTGCTCTTGCAGAGGAGCAGAGCTCAGTTCCCAGCATCCACATCAGCCATTCACAACCACCCATCTCTCGAGTCCTGGAAAACTGAACATTAAGCGATAGTTTCTCAGGTAGAGAGCCAAGTCCTTATCACAGCTAAGATTTTTGTGTTTAGTTAAAATGGAGTAAAATTCAGTTCCACCGTTTCCCCTCCCTCTTCTCCCTTTTACATTCCCTACTGACCCCCTCCCAAAGTCATGGCCTCTTTTTAAAAATGCAAAGATTTCTTTAATGTGGGAGGATGTTTGCTTGCACGAGCACCACGTTCATGATGCAGGGCCTCCAGGCGGCATCCGGGTCCCCGGAACTGCAGTTACAGCCAGTCGTGAATCATAATGTGTATGGCTATGGGAAGCCATGACTGAGCCATCTCTGCAGCCCAGGCCTCCTCTCTTTAACCATTGTTACCACATACAGGTACAAATAAAATATAAATACAACCCAATGAGTTGCTTGTATTTTCCTTTCAGGGCTGGCTGACCATTTGGGATTGGATAGTAAATCAGGGCTCATCCTAAAGTGGAGTTCTAATTTGGTGGACAAAAGGACTTTTTATGTGGCTGGAGAAATGGTTTGGCAGTTAAGAACACCCACTGCTCTTACGGAGGACCTGGGCTCTGGTCCCGGCACCCACATTCAGGTGGCTCATGGCTTCCTCTAACTTTACCTCCAGGAGATTCCCTGCTTTCTTCTGGCCTCTTCACTTACCTGCATGCATGTGGTGCCTGGACAGACAAGCAAGCACAAGTGCACACACACACAATGTAAAAACAAGTCATTGAAAAGATGAAGCCGGGCCGGGCGGTGGTGGCGCACGCCTTTAATCCCAGCACTCGGAAGGCAGAGGCAGGCGGATCTCTGTGAGTTTGAGGCCAGCCTGGTCTACAAGAGCTAGTTCCAGGACAGGAACCAAAAGCTACGGAGAAATCCTGTCTCGAAAAATCAAAAGAAAAAAAGAAAAAGAAAAGAAAAGAAAAAAAGAAAAGAAAAGATGAAGCCGGGCTGGAGAGATGGTTCAGTGCTTAAGAGCACTGGCTGCTCTTCCAAAGGTCCTGAGTTCAATTCCCAGCAGCCACATGGTGGCTCACAACCATCTGTAATGAGATCTGGCGCCCTCTTCAGGCCTGCAGGCATACGTGCAGGCAGAATACTGTATACACAATAAATTTTAAAAAAAAATTAAAAAAAAAAGATGAAGCCTAGCCAGATGGTGGTGGTACACACCTTTAATCCCAGCACTTGGGAGGCAGAGGCAGGCAGAGCTCTGTGAGTTCGAGGCCAGCCTGGGCTACTGATGGGGGAGTGTCATATATCAATCTGTTGATTTCATTGGTTAAGCAATAAAGAAACTGCTTGGCCCTCATAGGTTAAAACATAGGTGGGTGGAGTAAACAGAACAGAATGCTGGAAGAAAGAAGCTGAGTCAGGGAGTTGCCATGATTCTCCTACTCCAGACAGACGCAGGTTAAGATCATTCCTGGTAAGCCAGCTCGTGGGCTACATACATTATTAGAAATGGGCTAGTCCAGGTGCGAGAGTTAGCCGAGAAAAGGCTAGATATAATTGGCAAAGCGGTGTTTAAAAGAATACAGTTTCCGTGTAATTATTTCGGGGCATAAGCTAGAGCTAGGCATGTGGGCGGCCAGGTGCTGGGGATGCAGCCCCGCCGCTCCTATTACAACAGGCTACAAAGCGAGTTCCAGGGCAGCTGGGGCAGTTACCCAGAGAAACCCTGTCTGCCTTGGATGTCAGTAGAAAGTGACTGACAGTTCTCCAGCACTAAGCAACCATCCTTAGTTGAAGCACCCCGAACACTGTGGCTCACTGGGACACAGTCCCATCACAGCACAGCAATGCCTCCTGGGTGCTGGCACCACCACGCTGAGCCTTACCCCACCTCAGAAGTTGTATGTTTCCTTCTGACATATATGGTCTTTTTAAAATGTTTTATCATTATTGTCTACCTATGTGTGTGTGAGAGTGTGTGTGTGTGTGTGTGTGCGTGCCCGTGCGAGTGTGTGTGCCTGGTGATCAGGGAGTGCAGAAGAGGGAGTCAGATCATCTGAAACTGGAGTTACAGATGGCTGTGGGTGCTGGGGACCGAACCAGAGTCCTCTGGAAAGGCAGCAAGTACCTTAACCACGGAACCAAATCTCCAGCCCCTTGAAAAGCATGATCTTATATTTTTTAGTAAAGAGTGTGCCTAGACATGGGCACTGATGAAGCCACGTGAAGAGAACACACTGTGAAACTTCAGGGCTAGAGGAAGGATTTCCTGTGGTGTGGGAACTTCAGCTGTGCTGCAATGAGTTGGCACATGTGCTCTGGTGGAGTTGAGAGCGGCTCACTCATTGGTTCCGTGGAAATGTAGTTCCGCCTTGCATAGACTTCATTGCTAGGCAGACACAGAGGATTTACAAAAGGCAGGAATTTCAGCTGGGCCTGGTGGTGCAGGCCTTTAACCCCAGAACTTTGAGGCTAGAGCTCCCTGAGGCCAGCCAGGGCTCTGGAGTTTTGAGACAGGGGAGGGGAGAAACATCTTTAGCATTTATCTTTCTGATCTCAAGAGAGACTGGTGTCAGGTCATAGGTCTTCGGTATTTTGTTTAACCTTTTATTATATGGAAACACTTGCAAGGTGAACTATGTAATCATGTATCTGTGAAACTGTCGAATGCTGAGGCTATAACTCCAGGTCCTTCTGGACATTCCAGAGCGTTTCTGCACTCTTCCTGAGCAGGGACTCCTCCTCGGGGTTCAGGTTCACTTTCACAATGTCTGTGATGCCATTTCTTCCCAGGATACAAGGAACACTGAGAAAGATTTCCTCCTTGATCCCGTACAAGCCCTGAAACACAAGCTCACGTCACTGTCTGGTTTCCCTTGCCACCATGCAAGAAAGCTTCAGACTAAAAACGTGCAGGAGCCGACAGCATCAAGCAGAGCTATGCAGAAGGCAGAGTGATCCTTGGCAGGACTCAGAGCCGTCTTTGTCCCGGATCACACTGACAGCCAGTACAAGAAGAATGTGCCAGAGGTCTTAAGCCAGGTCCCAGAAAGATGAAATCACCCTCCCTGAACAGGCACCTTGATGTCTAACGGGAAGTGTGTGGTGCTGTCTTTCTGTGCCCTTTCTATCTGGGTACCACTGAGGGGACAGTGAAGGCTAAAGCAGGTGGTGACCAGGAAGTCTCTACTTTGCACCTTTTAATAGAGGGCACCACTGAGTTTGGACACCTGTTTGCTACAGATGGCTTCTCAAGCCTTCACGCGTGAAATCCCAAAGGACAAGCCCAGGGCTACCCAAACAGGCCCAGTGTAATATGTGGGGACACGTCCTTGAGATGTAACCCTGCCCCTCTGTACCCCTTAACTGCCACCTTTCCTAGAGATACACCCTAGGACTCTCAGGCTGGACAGGGACCTGGAGGCGTGTACATAGGTTACTCAGTTGTGGAATTCTGGCCAGTGGCCCAGCGTTCTCTCCACTCCCATAGCCAAGGCTACGGAAACAGCTGTGAGACTCTGTTATAGTCTGGGCAACCCATACATCTGCCTGCATGAGCCAGAATCTCCTGTCCCCTACTACCTACCCCATGGCCACCCCTGGAAGACGAAATGCCCAGTGAACTCTAGCCATCTTCCTGCCACCCATCCCTCTGGGGCTGTAAACATGTCAGGTCTGAGCACTGAGGGTCAGGGTCTAGAAACTCACAGTGGCCCAACCTCCTATCCATGCCCAGAATCTCTACAACGTTGCGGGGAGCATAGGGTGGGCCCCTCGCTCCTGTGTTCTTCCAATACTCCTTCCTGCAGGGAACTCTCCGTCACCTGCCTCATTCTGAAGTTACTTTACGCTCAGCCTCACCGGTGACCCAGAATGATAGATGAACATTTCTTCCAGGCATACCTTAGCCAGGGTGGAAACTGGATGCACCTTCCTAAGATTCTTCAGTATTGATCCTGTCAGATCTGTCACAGAGAGCCCGATAGCCCAGGACGTATAGCCCTTCAGCCGAAGGACCTCATACCCGCTGCGGTTGCACAAGGAGGGAAATCAAAATCATGAAAGGTCAACGGAGAGACAATCATGCTGCTTCTGAAGGGTCTATGTGTCTGTGCCCTGCGAGTCACATTTTCTCAGAGTTCTTCCACAAGTGTTTATGGTTTATAATTTTTATAGACGGATCTCAACCAGGCACAGTGGGGGCACAGGTGAATCTCTGTGAGTTCCAGTCCAGCCTGGTCTACATAGTGAGTTCTGGGCCAGCTAGAGGTACACAATAAGACTCAGTCTCAAAAAAATAAGTCACATAAAATGTCATTTTACTTAAACTAAGAATCAATTTGGCCGGGCGGTGGTGGCACATGCCTTTAATGCCAGCACTCGGGAGGCAGAGGCAGGCAGATCTCTGTGTGCCTTTAACCCAAGCACTCAGGAGACAGAGGCAGGCAGATGTTTAGAGTTCTAGGTCAACCTAGTCTACATAAAAACCCTGCCTCAAAGCAAAACAGCACAACGACAACAACAAAAGAATCGGTTCATCTTTACCATGAAATCAAAATACTAGGACATAAGCACTACAAGACAGAATTAACTTTTACTTATTGTTTTGATTTTTTCCAAGACAGGGTTTCTCTGTGTAGCCTTGGCTGTCTTGGACCAGGCTTGGCCTCAAACTCACAGAGACCCGCCTGCTTCTTTCTCCTGAGTGCTGAGATTAAAAGCATAAACCACCACCACCACCTGGTGAACTTTTAATATTTTATTGTTGCTTAAATATCTAAACATAGATTCCAATTACCTTAAAAGTTACTATAGACAACTTTCCGACCACTTTAAGTGACTGGTACAGGCCTCAAGTGATGGTGCACATCTTTAATCCCAGCACTTAGGTGGATGAAGGCAGAAAATCTCTGTGGATCAGGGCCAGCCTGGATGACAGGATAATACTCTGTCTCAAATATATATACCCGTATATATAATCAGACATGTCCATCAAAGAAACTCTGAGGAATAGACTAAACAAGTAACTCAAGTTGTTGAGGGTAGCACAGACAAAGAGCCAGAGGCAGGTATGGACCACGAAGGCCTCTTGTGGGAATGTCAGAAGCCTGGGGCTGCTCCTCTCACAATGAATGACTTTGGGGCACCTTAGCATTACTGCACCCTCCTTCCTGGGAACCAGGACCCTGGTAACCAACCACGCGTGCACGGGAGCTTTGAGTACTTTCCATCCCCATTGTAGTCTTTCTTCAATAGACCCGGACCCTGGAACTGGGGTGAGACGACCTGCAGGTGTTCCTCCTTGTAATTGCCATAGCATTGATCAAGTAGAGTTAGCTGACCGCTGAATGAACTAGTCAAAATAGTTGACAAATGATTTCTGGACTTTCCCTTTGATTCTGTACTACCCCCTCCCTGATTTTGTGGTTTTTTTCCTTTAAAAGAGCCTGTAATAGACAAAGCAGGTCCTTCTCCTCTGCCATGGCAGAATAAAAATTCCTCTTGCTATTGCATCAACTGTGCTAAGAGTGTCTCTTGGGGCGACCTCCTCCTTGGTGGGGCGACCTCCTCGTTGGTGGGGCTTTAGGGTCCAACAACAAAACCAAAGATACAAAGCTACAAAACAAAACTACAGGCATTTTCTATGTGAAATTAACTCCCTTAAAAAATTTATTTATGTGGGGCCGGAGAGACGGCTCAGAGGTTAAGAACACTGCCTGCTCTTCCAGAGTTCCTGAGTTCAATTCCCAGCAACCATGTGGTGGCTCACAACCATCTGTAATGAGGTCTGGTGCCCTCTTCTGGCCTGCAGGCATACATGCAGAAAGGATATTGTATACATAATAAATAAATATTTAAAAAAATTATTTATGGAAGCTGGAGCGATGGCTCAGTGGTTAAGAGCACTGGAATCTAAAAAATTTTTATGTGTATGGGCATTTTGCCTGCGTGTATGTATGTATTTATGTATGTATGCATGCGTGTATGTGAATCACCTATGTGCTTGATTCCCACAGAAGCCAGAAGAGGGCAGCAGATTGCTGGAGCTAGAGTTACAGATGGTTGTGAGCCACCATGTAGTACTGGGAATCCAATCCAGGTCCTCTAGAAGAGCAGCCAGTGCGCTCAACCACTCTCCAGACACCTGCAAAATTTATTCCATTTTTTTCAAGACAGGGTTTCTTTCTCTGGGTATCTACACCAGCTGCCCTGGAACTCACTCTGTAGCCAGGCTGGCCTTGAACTCACAGAGATCCATTTTCCTCTGTCTCCCGACTGCTGGGATTAAAGGGATGCGCCACCAGAGCTCAGCTCAAAACTTTAATTTTTTAGATTTATTTATTATGTATATGGTGTTCTGCCCGAATGCCATAAGAGGGCACCAGACCTCATTTTAGATTGTTGTGAGCCATCAAATTTTATTCTTTTTATTCATTTTGTTTTGTTTCTTGATACAGAGTTTCTTTGTAACTTTTGAGCCTATCCTACCTAGTACTTGCTCTGTAGACCATGCTGGCCTTGAACTCACAGAGATCCTCCTGCCTTTACCTTCCAAGTGTTGGGATTAAAGCAGTGCACCACCGCCGCCCAGCCAAAATTTATTCATAATAATGATTATTGTGGCATCAACAATAACATAACCGCAGTCACCTTTCCACCACCTGATTGTGGATCTTTTTCCACTGTTCCTGGTCTGAGTCAGTTCCTAATGCTGGGTTCAGTGACTTCAGAGGTACGCCAGCAACGTTCACACCACTCCACAAGGGCACTAAGAAAACAAAACAAAACAAAAAAAAAACAGCTCTCCTCTTTGCTCCTCTTGCCAAAAGCTGAGTCAGTTGCTTGAGTTTAGTGCTGGGGTGTTTTGTTGGGGGCGGGGGATTCTGTTCTGCTTTTGGTTTGGTTCTTTTGAGAAAGGACCCAGCTACCTTCCAATTCCTATCTTCCTGCCTTTGCCCTGAGCGCTGGATGGCAAGCATCTGCCACCACACTTGGCTAGAGTTGACTGACAGGTTTCCTTCTTTTTATTTTAAGATTTATTTTATTATGTATACAGTGTTCTGCCTGAGTGTGTGCCTGCATGCCAGAAGAAGACACTAGATCTCATTATAGATGGTTGTGAGCCATCATGTGGTTGCTAGGAATTGAACTCAGGACCTCTGGAAGAACTAACCTCTGTGCTCCTAACCTCTGACCCATTGCTCCAACCACTTGTTCTTTGTGTTTAAGAAAGGCTGGCCTCAAATCCCATGTACAGCCAAAGATGGCCTCAAACTTCTGACTTGCCTGCCTCCACCCCACCTCAAATTATTAGATTTTAGGAATACATCACCACTTTTGGCTTTTGGTTGGTTGAGAGTGTTGAGCTTTGTACCTGAGGATGTCTGCAAACCCCTGATCCTCAGGTCCCAGCTTTTAAGTACTGATATTACAAGTGTTCACCACTGCACCAAGATGTATTTTCTTATTTATTTATTATGTATACAATATTCTGTCTGTGTGTATGCCTGCAGGCCAGAAGAGGGCACCAGACCTCATTACAGATGATTGTGAGCCACAATGTGGTTCCCGGAAATTGAACTCAGGACCTTTGGAAGAGCAGGCAATGCTCTTAACCACAGAGCTATCTCTCCAGCCCACCCAGATGTACTTTCTATGTGGGTTTTAATGTTAGGGTGCTATCTCACATCATATATAAATACAAGAAGTTATGGTTTTTCTTGTTAAGATTTATTTTATCATTTTTGTTTGTATTACTGTGAGTTTTACTTAGGGGTACATGTGTGTTTGGTATGTGGGTTGTGCACATAAGTGGATCCCCTGAAACTGGAGTGATGTCATCTAAATATGAAATATAAAAAGGCACACTGAGACATGGGAGAAGGGAGGTTATGAGATACTGGGGAAGGTAGGAGAAAGGGAGGCAAGGGGCGGCACACACTTCTGAGCAGAAGGGAGGAGAGCACCAGTGCTCCACTGCAGAGTCAGGGGACTGTAGTCAGTGATTATGTGGTCCTGGGCTGGGAGAGTGGGAAACAGAGGCAGGGGAGCAAGCTTCAAGGTCATTCTCAGCTAATGGACAAGGTTCAGGCCAGCCTGATACTCAGGAGACCTGGTATTTAAAAAAGGCAAGTATGGTCTCTGGCTGGAGACAAGGCTCATTAGTGAAGAACAGATAATGCACCCACATCAGACAGCTCACAACCCACCTCCACCCCAGTTCCAGGGAGATGCAATACCTGGCCTCTGCAGGCACCTCCACTCAGGTGAACATACCCACACGCAGATAATGTAATTTAATAAAAATAATTTTGAAATGTTATCTATCTCAAACTAGGTAGGTTTTTTAGTGTTCTCAGCCCAGAGATAGGATAGATTTATAAGGTGACCACAAAGCTGAAGATGCTGACTTGATCACTGTGTCACATACATATGGATCAAGACACCTCAATGTACTCTCCACATATGCATAAGTATGCATCAATAAATGTTTTTCATTGTTTCAGACAGGGTATTGCTTTGTAGCCCAGGCTGGCCTAGAACTAGCTATCCTCCTGCTTCTACCTCTGAAGTTCTGGGATTCCAGGTAGACACTACCATGCCTAGCTCAATTAAAACAGTCTGGAAAGCATACAAATAGAAAAAGCATACACCAAAGAAAATAAGAAAATAAAAATTATTCATCTATCCTGGCGTGAACAGGCTCTGAAGAGAAGCTTTACTAAACCCCGGAAGGACACTTACACCATCACTGGCTACACTCACCGCTGGAGTCGCCGTGCTCACCAAGAACGTAGCCATGGCAACTTACAGGGTGGACACCCAACTTCTCTCCAATCAGGTAACGGAAACGGGCAGAGTCTAGGTTACAGCCACTCCCAATTATGCGAGTTGCAGGGAGGCCACTTATCTTCCATACCACGTAAGTCAAAATATCCACTAGGAAGAACAGTTTCAAACAGCGTTAGAGAAAGATCCATAGCCATTTCTATTTACAGGCACTTTTATAAAAAGATACATTGTCTGGAGTCAAATGCAGATTCATCGGAGTTTAAAGTACAGTGGATCTAAAGAGTAGAGATGCTCAGGGCTTTCATGTAAATCGCTCGCCCATACAGTTTTACAGCATCTTCTGAGATACTCTAAGGGCTTTTCAGCAAATCTAATAATGGGTCAGTTTCTGCCTCTTTAGCTTCCTGGATTTCCTGTTTCTATTGCCACCTGCACTATCATCGTTACCTAGAACAGTGCGTGGGCACAGCCAGCGCAGGCTGCAGGTGTGTGGGCAATGTGGAAAGATCACAGCAACTTGTGCAAGAGGAAACAGAAACGTGATGGCTAAGGCACAGTCAAAAACTGCTGAGCTGGGTCCCAAAGACACACCCAAGAAAGGAGGGCAGGAAGGTTTGGGAAATTGCTTAAGGTCTTAGGCATTTAAAGAAAATTCTGTCCAGGCATTAACTGATCACTAAACAAACACAATAAAAACTCCTGTGCCTTGTAACCGAAATCTACAGACTGCAGACTCATGAAACCCAACCTCAAGAAGCCACAACAGACTTGGAGGTGAGGAGGATTTGACTTGCAAATGTTTTTGTGGAGGGCTGGTGAGATGGCTCAGCGATTAAGAGCCCTCACTGGCTGCTCTTCCAGAGGACCCAGGTTTGATTCCTAGCACCCAAATGAAACTTACAACCATCTGTAATTCCAGTCCCAAGGAATCCAACACCACTCTCTGACAGAGGTACTAGGCATGCATGCAGTGCATGGACATACATGCACACAAAATACCCATGTAAATAAAATAAAATAAAGAAAAATTAACAGAGCTAGGAAACACATGTGATAGTAGCAAGGGTGTCAACATATAGTATCTGGCCAGACTAATCCTCAAAAATAAGACACTGGGGCTACACTTTGGAAAGGCTGACAAGTGGCTGGGTGGTGATGGCACACGCCTTTAATCCCAGCACTCGGGAGACAGAAGCAGGCAGAGCTCTGTGAGTCGAGGCCAGCCTGGTCTTCAAGAGCTAGATCCAGGACATGCTCCATAGCTACACAGAAACCCTGCCTTGAAAAACCAAAATATATATATATATATATTTATATATTCCTGACACATCCCAGACACAGATGAACCTAAAATAACTGTGCTATAAAAGGGGCTGGGTAGAAAAGCTTGAACTCTCTGCTCGGTTTTGTTTTGTTTTGTTGAGGAGGTTCCAGAAAATGTGTCAAACGACCCTGCAGCGGTGACAGGGATGCTTCAGATCTTACTGGGATGGCACCATGATGGCGTTTATTAAAACTTGTGGCATGGCAGACTTTGAGTGGACGAAGATTAACCCACAAATGCAACCTTAGCGGAGTTTAGAATGGAATGGTGCAGGCCAATCATCACCCCAGAGGGGACGGGGTCCTTACCTGGGTTTGAGACAATCAGGATTTTACAGTCGGGGCTGTTTTGGACTATGCCGGGAACGATGGATTTCATGATAACAACATTGCGCTGGACCAGGTCAAGGCGCGACTCTCCCACCTTCTGCCTGGCGCCAGCTGTGATGATAACTAATTTGGAGTTGGCAGAGACACTGTAATCTAAGAAGGAAGCAGAGAACGGTGTTTGGATCAGGACTGACACCATTGCGCCTGACTCGTTAAGCATCTGTACCTGAACATCCTGGATTTGGAAAAAGACAAGACTCCCCACACTGGAGCATCAGGCATACAAGACTTGTTGCCAGCTTTCATAAAACACTTCCTAATCTGCCATCCGCTTTAACCCACATTCCCAGTTGTCAGAAAGGCCTAGGGTAAGGAAATCAGCAGCTCTCGGGCTTCAGTTTTTGCTTTCTTGTGTTGCTGGGAATTGAACTAACAGCCATGCCAGCACTGAACTAAATCCCCAGTGCCCTGACTTTTTAGCAATACCCAATTTAGAACTCGCCAGGTGGCAGTGGCTCAGATTTTTAATCCTAGCATTGGGAGGAAGAGGCAGGTGGATCTCTGTGAGTTTGAGGCCAGCCTGGTCTACAGAGTGATTTCTAGACAGTCAGATCTGTTACACAGAGGAACCCTGTCTCAAAAAATTAAAGAAAAAAAAATTTAGAGCTCTTGAGAATTTCTTTTTTTTTTTTTTTTTTTTTTTTTGATTTTCGAGACAGGGTTTCTCTGTAGTTTTTGGTGCCTGTCCTGGAACTAGCTCTTGTAGACCAGGCTGGCCTCGAACTCACAGAGATCCGCCTGCCTCTGCCTCCCGAGTGCTGGGATTAAAGGCATGTGCCACCACTGCCCGGCTCTTGAGAATTTCAATATCTATTTTAGGATTCTAAAGAAAAGAACAGATTTACCTCTAATTATTATAAAAAACCATATTTGAGAATACAAATAAGTCAGATCTCTAATTCACACAAGTAATAAACCACCAATATTACTAAATGTAATTACCAGCCTGGAAATTATTTCACTTACTATATCCAACTCCAATAAGACAAGCTTTGCTTATTATTATTAAACATTATGTGATGCTTTTTCAATTAGCAATTCCTTTAAGTATCTAAGACATTCACATTCTCATTTATTTGTGTGTGTATGTGTGTGAGTGTGCCATGTATCTAAGACATTCACATTCTCATTTATTTGTGTGTGTATGTGTGTGAGTGTGCCATGCCATGGAATTCATGTGGAGGTCAAAGAGCAACTTGGGGGAGTCAGGGTCCCATTCTATCAAATGGGTCCCTCAACTTGGGGGAGTCAGGGTCTCATTCTATCAAATGGGTCCCTCAACTTAGGGGAGTCAGGGTCTCATTCTATCAAATGGGTCCCTCAACTTAGGGGAATCAGGGTCTCATTCTATCAAATGGGTCCCTCAACTTGGGGGAGTCAGGGTCTCATTCTATCAAATGGGTCTCTCAAACTGAACTCAGGTCATCAGGCTTGGTAAGAAGGGCCTTTATCACACTTTTAAAACCACCACAATGAAAACAAGGTCTCAGGGCTGAAGAGATGGTTCAGTGGTAAAACCACTTCATGATTTTCTAGAGGACCCAAGTTCAGTTCCTAGTACCCATATCTGGTGGCTCCCAACTTCCTCTAACTTCAGATCTTGTGATCCAATGCCTTTGGCCTCCACAAGTCCCTGCAATCACGTGCACATAACTACATGCATATACATGTGTGTGTGTATACACAGACACATCATTTAAAAAATACTAAAAACAGGGGCTGGAGAGATGGCTCAGTGGTTAAGAGCATTGCCTGCTCTTCCAAAGGTCCTGAGTTCAATTCCCAGCAACCACATAGTGGCTCACAACCATCTGTAGTGAAATCTGGTGCCCTCTTCTGGCCTGTAGGCATACATGCAGACAGAATATTGAGAATACTGTATACATAATAAATAAATAAATCTTTAAAAATAATACTAAAAATAGGCAGGTTGTGGTGGTGCACACCTTTAGTCCCAGCGTTTGGAAGGCAGGGGCAGGGAGCTCTCTGTGAATGTGAAACCATCCTGGTCTCATAGTGAGTTCCAGAACAGCCAGAACTATGTAGAAAGACCCTCAAAAAAGCAAATAATAGTAATAATAGACATATAGTTGATAGACAGACAGACAGATAGTTGATAGATAGACAAACCGAAAAATCAGCAAATTAATAATTACGGTTACATATTTTGGGTCAATATGAAGTGTTTACACTGCTTCTCTAGGATACTTTTTAGTTAAATAACTACTGTCAGTGGTGGTCATTTTATGACTTACTCATTTAATATTTTATGGGCTTGAGTATTTTGCCTAGGGGGCTGGAGAGATGGCTCAGAGGTTAAGAGCACTGATTGCTCTTCCAGAGGTCCTGAGTTCAATTCCCAGCAACCACATGGTGGCTCACAACCATCTATAATGAGATCTGGTGCCCTCTTCTGGCATACAAACATACATTGCAGGAATGTTGTATACATAATAAATAAATCTTAAAAAAAAAAAAAGTATTTTGCCTACATGTATGTCGATATACCACATGAGTGCAATGCCTCAGAGTCTGATAGGAGACATCAAATCTCTTGGTCCTGGGGTTACAGATGGTTGTGAGACACCCCGTGGGTGCTGGGAATCAAACCCAAATCCTTTACAATAGCGGTGAGCATCACTAACCACTGAGCCATCTCTCCAGCCTCAAAGGAGTTTTGTATTGTTCTGCCTTCCAAATTTCCCCCATTGCAATTTAATATTCTTTTTTAAAAAAATAACAATCAGGCTTGCAAATGAGGTGGCTTACACCTTTAATCCCAGGAGTCAAGAGGCAGAGGCAGCTGGATCTCTGTGAGTTTTTGGTCAGCCTGGTCGACATACTAAGTTCTAGAACAGCCAGAGCTACATAGAGAGAATCTGTCTGAAAACAAAAACAACAACAAACAATGAATGAATTAATTAAATCTTTACTCTGGGCTTGGTGGAGCACACCTTAAATCTTAGCACTCCGGAGGCAGAAGCAGACATTAATGTGAGTTTCAAGTCAACCATGGCCATATGCTAAGATTCTATCTCAAAATAAATAAATAAATCAAGTGGAAATTAGCCTTAAAATTGTATGTCCTAATGAAGTATTATGTATGTATGATGGTATTTTAAAAAAATTTTTAATTTGATTTTTCAAGACAGAGTTTCCCTGTGTAACAGCCATAGCTGTCCTGGAACTTACTCTGTAGACCAGGCTGGCCTCGAACTCACAGAGATTTGCCTGCCTCTGCCTCCCGAGTGCTGGGATTAAAGACGTGCACCACCATGCACAGATCAGTGATATTTTTAATTATATACTTATTGCAGTCAATTTGGTCGATTTTTTTTTATTATGTATACAGTATTCTGCCTGAATGTATCACTGCAGGCCAGAAGAGGGCACCAAATCCTGTTACAGATGGTTTTGAGCCACCTTGTGGTTGCTGGGAACTGAACTTTGGACCTTTGGAAGAGCAGGAAAAGCAGTCAACTACTGAGCAATCTCTCCAGCCCGCCTTTTTGATTTTTTGAAATGGGTTTCATGTAGTCCAGGCTGAACTCAAACTCAGTACGTAGCTGAGGCTGGAATAAACTCCTGCTCATCCTTCTACCTCCACCTCACAAATGTTGGGATTATAAGGTATCCAAGCCGTTACAAATGACAAAATTGAGTACTTCTTACGAATCTTTGAAAGTGAAATTATCACACTAAAATCAACCTTTCCCAGAGACGATTTTTGGAGTGTTGAAGAAAAGGCTGCCGTGCAGAAGATCCAGGGTCTCTCCCTTCAGTTTGTCTGCATCAGCATCAATAAGAGCGAGTTCATCAGCCAGACCCTGAAACACAGAAACATCACAGATAGCGCAAGTTCATCAGCCAGATCTTGAAACACAGAAACGTCACAGATACCATGGCCCAGACCTTTAGGAGACCAAGAAGGGTTCCAGAGCAGAGGGCAGAGCTTCACTGGCAAAGTGCCTGCCCTGTGTGTGAAGCCAAGCCAGATCTCAAGCACTGAAATAATAATGACAAATTGTTATATATCGGGGCTGGAGAGATGGCTCAGAGGTTAAGAGCATTGCCTGCTCTTCCAAAGGTCCTGAGTTCAATTCCCAGCAACCACATGGTGGCTCACAACCATCTGTAATGAGGTCTGGTGCCCTCTTCTGGCCAGCAGGCATACACACAGACAGAATATTGTATATATAATAAATAAATATTTAAAAAAAAAAGTTTTAAAAAAAATTGTTATATATCCACTTTATAACCAATGAAATCTTGTAGGCTTTTGTTTTGTTTGTTTTTGGTTTTGTGGGATTTTTTGTTTGTATTTTGTATTGATTTTCTTTTTTTTTTAAGACAGGGTCTGTGTGTGTGTGTGTGTGTGTGTGTGTGTGTGTGTGTCCTGATTGAACTAGAATTTTCTCTGTAAACCAGCTGGCCTCAAACTCACAGAGATCTGCCTGCCTCTGCCTCCTGAGTGCTGAGATTAAAGACATGCGCCACCACCTCCTGGTAAAAATGATACAGTTGCTGAATATGCAGAGAGTGACCAGAGGTCCAAGTGAACAGGCAAATGCAGGAGAAGTATCAATTGCTTTACGTTTACAAAACCATAAGAATTTTATAAAATTGCATCTTTACATTTTTTAGAGATTATATTTTATTATTTACATTTATTTGTATGTGGGTATCTGCATGGTGTGTATATGTAACATGTGTGTAGTAAGTACTCAGAGACCAGAAGAGGGCGCCAATCCTCCAGAGCTGGAATTCCAGGTAGTGAGTCCACTTGATGCAGGGGCTGTAAGAATAGCAAGTGCTCAGGCCAGGCTGTGGTGGCGCACGCCTTTAATTCCAGCACTCGGGAGGCAGAGGCAGGCAGATCTCTCTGAGTTTGAAGCCAGCCTGGTCTACAGAGTGAGTTCTAGGACAGGCTTCAAAGCTACAGAGAAACCCTGTCTCGAAAAACAAAAACAAAACAAAACAAAAAAAAAAAAACAAATTCAATGCAATGCCCAGCAAAATTCTTCAAAGACCTCAAATGAATGGCACTCAACTTCATATGGAAAAGCAAAATACCCAGGATAGCCAAAACAGTCCTAGGCAATAAAAGAACTTCTGGAGGCATCACAACCCCTGACTTCAAACTCTACTACGCAGCTATAGAACTGTAAACAGCTGGTATTGGCATAAGAACAGACAGGAGGACCAATGGAACCAAATAGAAGACCCAGATATCAATTCACACATCTTCAAACACCTGATCTTTGATAAAGAAGCAAAAGCTATCAAATGGAAAAAAGAAAGCATATTGAACAAATGGTGCTTGCATAACAGGATATAACATGTAGAAGAATGTAAATAGACCCATATCTATGACCATGAACAAAATTCAAGACCAAATGGATAAAAGACCTCAACATAAAGCCAGCCACACTGAACCTTACAGAAGAGAAAGTGGGAAGTACATTTGAATGCATTGGCATAGGGAACCACTTCCTAAATATAACCCTAGCAGCACAGACACTGAGAGAAACAATTAATAAATGGGACCTCCTAAAACTGAAAAGCTTCTGTAAAGCAAAGGACATGGTCAACAAGACAAAACGACAGTCTACAGAATGGGAAAAGATCTTCACTAACCCCACATTAGAGGTCTGATCTCCAAAATATACAAAGAACTCAAGAAATTGGACACCAAAAGATCACATAATCCAATAAAAAAATGGAGTACAGATCTAAACAGAGAACTCTCAACGAGGAATCTAAAATGACTGAAAGACACTGAAGGAAATGTTCAACATCCTTAGATGTTAGAGAAATGCAAATCAAAACAACTCTGAGATTCCATCTTACACCTGTAAGAATGACCAAGATCAAAAACTCTGATGACAACTTATGCTGAAGAGGTTGCGGGGAAAAGGGAATAGTTCTGCATTGCTGGTGGGAATGCAAGCTGGTACAACCCCTTTGGATGTCAGTGTGGTGATTTCTCAGAAAATTAGGAAACAACCTTCCTCAAGACCCAGTAATACCACTTTTGGGTATATATCCAAAGGATGCTCAATCATGCCACAAAGACATGTGCTCAACTATGTTCATAGCAGCTTTGTTTGTCATAGTCAGAACCTGGAAACAACCTAAATGCCCTTCGACCGAAGAATGGATAAGGAAAATGTGGTACATTTACACAATGGAGTACTACACAGCAGAAAAAAATTATGACAGCTTGAATTTTGCAGAAAATGGATGGAGCTAGAATACATTATTTTGAGTGAGGTAACCCAGGCACAGAAAGACAATTATCACATGTACTCACTCATAGGTGGTTTTTAAACATAAAGCAAAGAAAGCCAGCCTACAAACCACAATCCCAGAGAACTTAGACAACAATGCAGACACTAAGAGAGACTTACATAGATCTAATCTACATGGGAAGTAGAAAGTAGAAAAAGACAAGATCTCCTGAGCAAATTGGGAGCATGGGGACTTTGGGGAGGATTGAAGGGAGGAGGGGAGAGGCAGGGAAGGGAGCAGAGAAAAATGTAGAGCTCAATAAATATCAATAAAAAAAGAAATAAAAAATATATAAAGAACTCAAGAAACTAGACTTTAAAATGCTAATTAACCCAATTAAAAAATGTGGCATTGAACTGAACATAGAATTCTCAACAGAAGAAGTTCAAATGGCCAAAAGACACTTAAGGTCATGCTCAACCTCCTTAGCGATCAGGAAATGCAAATCAAAACAACTTTGAGATACCATCTTACACCTGTCAGAATGGCTAAAATCAAAAACACCAATGATAGCCTTTGCTGGAGAGGATGTGGAGTAAGGGGAACACTCATCCATTGCTGGTGGGAATGCAAACTTGTGCAACCACTTTGGAAAGTAGTGTGGCAACCGGTTTCTCAGGAAATTCGGGATCAACCTACCCCAGGATCCAGCAATACCACTCTTGGGAATATACCCAAGAGATGCCCTATCATACAACAAAAGCATTTGTTCAGCTATGTTCATAGCAGCATTATTTGTAATAGCCAGAACCTGGAAACAACCTAGATGCCCCTCCATGGAAGAATGGATAAAGAAGGTGTGGAACATATACATATTACAGCACTACCTAGCGGTAAAAAACAATGTCCAACGACATCTTGAATTCTGCATGCAAATGGATGGAAATAGAAAACACTATCCTGAGTGAGGTAACCGAGACCCAAAAAGATAAATATGGTATGTACTTACTCATAAGTGGATTCTAGCCATAAACAAAGGACATTGAGCCTATCATTCGGGATCCTAGAGAAGCTAAATAAGAAGGTGAACCCAAAGAAAAACATAGTTATCCTCCTGGATATTGGAAGTAGACAAGATTGACAGGCAAAAATTGGGAGCTTGTGGTTGGGGGTGGGGTGGGTAAGGGGAGAGGGAGAAAGAGAAGGAAAAAGGGGAGGATGGGGAGAGCTAGGGGGAATGGGGTGGTTGGGATGGAGGAAGGGTGGATATGGGAGCAGGGAAGTAGATATCTTAATTTTAAGGGAGCCATTTTAGGGTTGGCAAGAGACTTGACTCTAGAGGGGTTCCCAGGTGTCCAAGGAGATGTCCCCAGCTTATTCCTTGGCCAGCTGAGGAGAGGGCGCCTGAACTAGCCCTATCCTACAGCAGCCACACTGATGAATATCTTGCATATCACCATAGAACCTTCATCTGGCGATGGATGGAGATAGAGACAGAGACCCGAACTGGAGCACTGGACTGAGCTTCCAAGGTACAAATGAGGAACAGAAGGAGGGAGAACATGAGCAAGGAAGTCAGGACAGTGAGGGGAGCACCCACCCACTGAGATGGTGGGCTGATCTAATGGGAGCTCACTAAGGCCAGCTAGACTGGGACTGATGGAGCATGTGATCAACCAGGACTCTCTGAATGTGGCTGACAATGAGGGCTGACTGAGAAGCCAAGGACAATGGCACTGGGTTTTGATTCTACTGCATGGACTGGCCTTGTGGGAGCCTAGTCTGTTTGGATGCTCACCTTCCTAGATCTGGATGGAGAGGGGAGGACCTTGGACTTCCCACAGGGCAGGGAACCCTGACTGCTCTTTGGACTGGAGGGGGGAGGGGGAGGGGGGGAAGAGAGGGAGGGAGATGGGAAGAGGTGGAAATTTTTAATAAAAATAATAAAAAAGGAAATTTATTCTCAGCCAGGCAGTGGTAACAAAAACCATGCCTTTAATTCCAGCACTCTGGAGGCAGAGGCAGGCAGATCTCTGTGAGTCTGAGACCAACCTGGTCTACAGAGCGAGTTCTAGCCAGCTGCAGCTATCTATGTAGTGAGACTGTATTAAAAACAAACAAACAAACAAAAATGCATTCTCAGGGCTGAAGAGATGACTTGGGGTTAAGAGCTGATATTGCTTCTTATCTCCCTCACAAGTTTCCAACATTGATCAAAGTGACGTGGGGCTGGAGAGAAAGCTCTGTGGTTAAGAGCCCTGACTGCTCTTCCAGAGGACCCAGGTTCAATTCCCAGCACCCACATGGCAGTCCGTACCTGTCCATAACTCCAGTTCCAGGGCTTCAAATGTGCACACAGGCAAAAACAAATTGACATTAATTAAAAATCAATTATTTTTCAAAAGGCATCAAAGTGACCGTGAAGCCCACAGGACCGTGGCATCTGTGCTCAGACAATCAGGGCCCAGTACCGTAGCGTGAGCTACCACACCGACTCTCCTCCTCTGCCCAAGGATCTCACACAGTTCGGCCTGCCCTCAAACGTGATCTGTAGCAATGGATGATCTTGACCTGACCTTCTAGGCCTCCACCTCCCAAGTACGAAGATGACAGGCCTGCACCAACAACCACACCTAGCAAATGTTTAAATCGCCAACATGACAGATTTTCCGTATTTCCATTAAGGGATCAGCCCTGCAACCCTGACCTAAGAGCGTCTTTGATTTCCTGCAAGACGGCTTTCCTGCTTACCTTCAGTAAGATACTAATAGCACACGCCATGCCTACATTCCCAACTCCAACCACGGTGATCTTAGACCGGGAGGTTTTATCTTCTTGAGTTAGGTTCTGAATTAGCTGCTCCTTGACAGTGGACATGCTGAGCCTAAAGAGTAGAGGAAAATTTCAGTGGACACAGGCCCTACAGCCAAGACACTGAACAATCTATTTTTTTTTTCTGGTGAGGAAGTGGAGTTGAGACAAGGTTTTGTATCGTATCTAGGACTGGCCAGAAAGTCTAGGTTGGCTTTGAACTCATGGCAATCCCCCTGCCTTAGCCACTCAGAGTGCTGGGATTACAGGCCCATGCCACCATACCTGGTTTAGGAGCTACCTCTTGAGTCTGCAGATCGCAGGAGCAGGGGAGGAGGGAAGCCAGAGAGTTCCCTAGCTGGAGTGTGGAAACCAAGTGAAGCCTGGTGAAGCAGAGGAGACAGGTTCCTCCCTGCGTGCTGGCTCCTCCTTCTCAGCAGGCTCCACCCTTCCCCAGAACCCACAAAGGCTTTCTTTCCCAGGTGGATGAAGCCACTGCCCACCGCCTCTGAGGACGTGGAAGTATACCCTTCCGCTGACAGCGCAGCACAGGTGTGTCACCCAGGAACACCGTTAGGCTCTGGAGCCAAGGCTGTAACGACCAGGAACTCGCCAGACTCTACGTCACATGCAAGCTCCGCCCTCTGCCGGCCAGGTACTTTGGTGCAAGCAAGCATGCCCACTGGTGCATCCTCAGAGTCGGAAAGAGGACCTCTATGAGGTTTCCTAAGCTGCTAGGGGAAGGTTTGCATGCACTGAGACCACACAGAAGATGGCAGTCAGCTTGGAAAGGGCCTCCTTGAAGGCCCTGCTTGAACTGCACTATCTTTCTGCTGCAAGGAAATGCAGAACTTGGAGACTGAGGGGCATACTCCATGCTTTTGCCCTTATATCTGTTTGTAGGCATTTAAATAACTACTGGTCTTGGGAGGTGGCCCAGTCCGCATAGGGCTTGCAACGCAAGTAAGACCAGTGGATTTCACGATCGTGGGCCCACCGTTGCTCCTCTCTGACTGCCGAGTGAGTTCCTTGGTCAGAAGCAATACTGTATGGAACACTATGACTGTAGCTAAGGAAGGCGTTCTGTATGTCCACATTACGTGTAAGGAAAGGCAAATTCAAAACCAGTATAATCTCCTCCATTAAGGACAAACTGTCTTTCCCATGAAGAAAGTAGTCCAATGTAGTCAATGTTAGGACTCAGGCACTATGCTGGCCCCTGTCACCAGGCAGGATACGCTCCTGGCAGTAACCTGGCCAGCCCAGGGTCCTACGGCTGCTACATGACTACACTACAGAGTCTGTATGCAGGTGCACAAGGTCCTTTTAAGTGCCAAGCTCTGCCTACGCCTGCTCTCTTTGCCCATCATGAGATCTCTGGCTCTCACCCGTCAAGGTCCACCTCGCACCTCGGCATCTGCTAGATGGTCCCCCTGGAGAATGGTATTGTTATATTAGGGTCTCAGTGTTAGTCTCTGTGGTTGTCAGATCTGGCACTTAGCGGTAGCTGCAGTCACACCACCCTTGGTGAGTGGAAGTCTATGTCGTCAAGCCCACACATAACCTCCATCTCTGTCACCATGCCCAGTTTCTTCATGGCCCCAGAGGACTATGACAAGGATGGATGGGGAAAGAGGCTGACTGTCCACAGACCAGGTCATTCCCTCTACTTGCTTACTGAACTCCTCCTCTGCGGATGTCGTCTTTGGATGGGCATTTACAAGGCACAGCCGTATTTTCACATCCTTTGCCCATTTGTAGAGAGCTATGCACATACTTCTCCAGATATCTTTCTCACAATTTTCTAATCTGCTGTTTTCAAGACTCTGATCCTCCCACAAGTCTATTGGCTAAGGCTCATGAGTCAGTGAACAATTGCTCATCTGGCCACTTCTTATTTCAAGCAAAATGTATGACTATGTGTACTCCCAAAGTTCTGCCCAATTTGAAAATTTCTAACTAGCTCTTATAGCTTAAATTAACCCATTTCTATTAATCTATATGCTGCTATATAGCTTGTGGTTTGACCTCTCCTCTCACGTGTCCTGCTTTCTCCGCCTCCTGCTGGTGACTCTGTATCAGAGTGTCCTACAGGCCTGGTGCCAGAGAGATAGCAAGCAACTCCCCTCCCCTCTAGTCATAACCCCCCTGGGCCATACCTGGCTTAGCTCCAGAGTTGTCACCCAGCCCCAACCCATACTTTGTTTTACAGATACCTTTAGTTGCCCTGTGTGAATCTTGTCTGAGAGTTTCTCATGGATACTAAGCCTATGCAAAACTTGGTTCAGAGCAACCTGGAAAACCATGGTACCTCCTGAATCAGGTGTTTGCAATTGGCACTGAAGTTTTGGGAGTAAAATGATGGGCTGGTATCTTTAAGGTTACTGGCTGAAGGAGCAGAAGGAGCTTCCACAGCAGAGCAGCCTGCACAGCCGTCCTGCTGCAGAGCCTTCTCCTGTTCCAGGACCCCATACTCACACCTAGCATCTTTCCGAGTCTTTTCGTCTATGAGCCGGCTTAACATACCAGGCAAGGAATGTGCTATCTTCAGAATCCAAATAGGACAACTAAATGCTGTGCTTCTTTCTTGGTGGTGGGCAGGGCCAGGCTCAACACTTTGTCCTTCCCCTTAGAAGCCATATCTCTGCATGCCTCCTATTTCACTGAGGTGGAAGGTTCACGAATTTTGCTTGGATTTATTTCCCACCCACTGATGTACATATATTTTACCAACAAGTCCAAAGTGGTTCCTACCTCTGGTCACTTGATCTAATTAGCATAATGTCATTAATATAGTGCACCAACATGCTTTTTTTTCTGGAAGAGACAGTGACCATCATCCCTTTGGGGGCTGGAGAGTTGGCTCAACGGTTAGGAACACTTGCTGCTTTTGCACAGGATCTTTTTGTTGTGTGTGGGAGGCCTAAAGAGAATGTTGGATCCCCTAGAACTGAAGTCACAGATGGATGTGAGCGGCCATAACACCATGAAGGGTGGGAATCAAACCTAGGCCCTCTGGAAGAGCAGCCCCCACTCTCAGAACTAGAACTCAACATGTAGACATGTCTGGTCCAAACAGCAAAGTTACAGACCACTGTTGAATACAGGGGCAATTAAGAGTCTTTTCTTAGCTGGGTGATGGTGGTGCACACCTTTAATACCAGCACTCAGGAGGCAGAGGCAGGCAGGTTTCTTTCAGTTCCAGGACAGTCAGGGCTAGACAGAGAAACTCTGTCTCAGTAAACAAAAGAAAGAAAAAGAAAAAAGAGGGGCTGGCGAGATGGCTTAGTGGTTAAGAGAGTACTGACCCAGGTTCAGTTCCCAGCACTCACATGGCAGCTCACAATTGTCTGTAACTCCAAGATCTGACACCCTCACATAGACATACATGCAGGCAAAACACCAATGCATATAAAATAAAAGTAAACAAATTTAAAAAAGAAATAAAGGAAAAAGAGTTCTTTTTTAAATTAACGCCAGCAACTGAGAGCAGGTTCCTGCCACAAGGAACTCTCAACCCAGATATTGGGCAGTGTAGGGTTTATAAAGCTAAAACCACAATTGCATCATACCAGGTACAGGCTGAGGGGTTTCTTTTTTTCTTTATTCTTTTTATTTATTTTTATTTTTTTAGTTGTGTTAATTTATTTTGAGATAGAGGCTTTTCATGTAGCCTTGGAATTTACTACATAGGCCAGGCAGGCCTTGAACTCAAAGATCTGCTTACCTCTGCTCTCAGGTTTCCAAGCGAGGAAGGAGGAACCCTTTGATTGTTAAACATCTTAAAAGCATTGTTTCTCGAGATACCAGAAGGGAGAAACCAGTTCATGCAACAGGATGTGGTAGCAGACAGGAGGAGGTGTGGAGTCAGGGTAACCCATCAGACCATCTAACCTCATCACAGAAATCTCTCCCTAATATAGTAACAAGGGCATGAACCGCCACACCAGCTTAATGTGTTTCAGTGAAGCCCACATCCCTGTTGTTAGGTAACTTCTCTTTCCTTCTGAGAAAATGTCTCTGAACCCACTACCTAATCCTATATTAAATACAGGAAGCTTTCAAAGACTTTAAAAGTAAAGTGAAGCCAGGCGGTGGTGGTACAAGCCTTTAATCCCAGGACTAGGGAGGCAGAGGCAGGCAGATCTCTGTGAGTTCGAGGCCAGCCTGGTCTACAAGAACTAGTCCCAGGACAGGCTCCAAAGCTACAAAGTAACCCTGTCTCGAAAAACCCACAACAAAACAACAAAGTAGAGTGAAGCAAGCCACATGTGATGGCGCACACTTGTAATCACAATACTAGGGAGGCAATAGAATAAGGAATTCAAGGCCATCTTCAGCTGCACACAAAGTTCCAGGCCAACCTGGGCTACAAGAAGGGATCCTGTATTAATCAAAAAGTAACAAATAAAATTGAACTTTGTAGAATATAAATCATATCCTAACTGAGATGTTTCTTTATAAGTGTATAATAGGCAGGGCAGTGGTGGCGCACGCCTTTAATCCCAGCACTCGGGAGGCAGAGGCAGGCGGATCTCTGTGAGTTCGAGACCAGCCTGGTCTACAAGAGCTAGTTCCAGGACAGGCTCCAAAACCACATGAAACCCTGTCTCGAAAAACCAAAAAGAAAAAAAAATAAGTGTATAATAGAGCAAATCTAATTATAATAGGGTGAATTGTTACTTTCCTTCCCCTTAACAATCTCTCAAGAAGCAAACCCTAACGGAAATGCGCAGGGGGTGGAATGACAACAGTTATTGCACAAACTTCTCTCCCGTACAGTTTTCAGGGTTGGCGTCTTAGCTTTCTACTGTGATGAACACCATGACCAAAAACAACCTGGGGAGGAACAGCCTTCTTTGGCTTCCACATAACACACATCACATCATCCTGCGAACTACACAGGAACTCAAGCAGAAACCTGGAGGCAAGAACTGAAGCAAAGGCCATGGAGAACCCACTCCTGGACTTGCTCCCTAGGCTCGCTCAACCTGGTTTCTTATTCCATCCCAGACCACTTTCCCAGTGACGACACAACCCAGTGAGTCAGACCCTCCTATATCAACTACTAATTAAGAAAAGGAACTGGGCTGTAGTGGTGGTGCACACCTTTGACCTCAGCACTTAGGAGGCAGAGGCAGGGAGATACTCTGAGTTCGAGGCCAGCCTGGTCTACAACTTGAGTTTCAACGAAAGGCACTATGTGGATGCTGGGAACTGAACTCAAGACCTCTGGAAGAACAGCCAGTGCTCTTAACCTCTGATTTCTCCAGCCCACCTATCCATCAGTTCTTATCTATGTGGGTTTTGAGGGTTCAGGGCCTCGGGTGGCAATCCCCTTCACCTGCTGAGCCGTCTCTCTGAACCTACATTAGGATTCTTCAGCACCATGTGTCTGTCTTCTTCCTTAGTGATGGGCTATTCCTTCTTATGGCCAGTTGCCAATGTGAAGAATGTCTGTGAACATAGTTACCTACATACAGACAAAATACCCATCCACATTAAAAAAAAAAAAAACAGCCGGGCGATGGTGGCGCACGCCTTTAATCCCAGCACTCGGGAGGCAGAGGCAGGCGGATCTCTGTGAGTTCGAGACCAGCCTGGTCTACAGAGCTAGTTCCAGGACAGACTCCAAAGCCACAGAGAAACCCTGTCTCGAAAAACCAAAAAAAAAAAAAAAAAAACAAGACCTTGATCAAGAACTTACTTCCCATTGTGACAATAAGAGCAGTTTTATGTCTGTGTATATGCCCATGACTATGCAGGATGGAGGTTATCCCTAAGATGTCTTACTGAAGGCTACCTACTATAACATTTTGAGACATAATCCCTCACGATGGTTCCTTGAATAATCACCTCCACAGACTCATATTTGAATGCTTAGGAAGTGGCATTAGCTGTGGACTTGTAGGAGGAAGTTCGTCACAAAGTGGCTTTGGGGTTTCAAATGCCCAAAGCAGGCCTAGTCTCTCTCTTCCTACTGCTTGCTGATCTTGCATGTTGCTATGCCAATAGTGGACTAAACCTCTGAACTGTAAGGCAGCTCCAAGCCCTAGGTCTCCACCTCTCCACCTCCCCAGTGCCTTTAAGCCCCAGGGATTCAACACTTCACCAACTGAGTGCCTCCTCAGCCCAGCTTTACCTTTTTCTAGAATGGTCTCACTATGCAATGTCAGCTTTCCTAAACTATGTAAAGCAGCCTGGATGACTTGCAGATCCACCTGCCTCTGCTGGGATCAAAGGCACGCACCACTTTGGCTGCTCAACTGTGTCTTAAATAAAATGAGAAGTAATCACTGTTCAAGGTTTATTTGGTGTTTTCGTTGGCATGACACTTGGGTAGTCGGTTGCATCATCCATATGAAGATCTTTACACAATATTTCAATGTACACCACAGATACATAATACACAAAATAATATCCTTTGGAACAGTTATGCACAAGATATGCATAATGGATTTACACACTGGAGCCAGGTTATGACTAACTGGGAAATCATTGGCCTAGGCATGTCTGGTGAGGGTGCACAGCACAGACACAGCAGGTTCACAGGGTAACTGAAGCCTGCACACAGTTGGCAGTGTCACACCAACCAGGTTACCACTACACAAGTACCACTTAGCATCAGGGTAGAGCTGTGGGAACACAACCACCCTAACCACAGCTCAGCTGAGGAGACAGTGTGCTGCAGCCTGGACAGTGAAGCGCTAGGACATCTGGGGACTTTTAGAACTGCAGCTCTTTCTGGATCCCCCAGAGCGTGTCTGCACTCTTCTTCAAGCGGGCCTCCTCTTCAGAAGTCAGAGTCACCTTCACAACATCTGAGATTCCATTTTGTCCCAGGACACAGGGGACACTGAGGAAGACATCATCCTTGATTCCATAGAGACCCTGGACACAAAACAACAAGAGATTGGTTTGTCTACACATCCTCAGGTTTCCTGGGGTTTAGACCTTCCACAATTATAAAGCTCTTTTTTTTAAACGAGTGCTGATCTATCCTAATCCAGAGATGCCCAGCTATGATGTGATAATGAACAGTGCAATAGAAAGTCATCAAGACAGCAACAGCTAGGCTTGGCACATGCCTGTCATCCCAGTACGTGAGAGCTAGAGGTAGGAGTTCAAGATTATCCTCAGGTACATAACAAGTTGAAGGCCAGGCCAGTAGACATTACCTAAGACCCTTGCCTCAAAAAAGCAAAGCAAACCAAAACCCAAGTCTTACTAACATACACAATAAACCACACTTGCCAATTTCTGTAAGACCGGTAACTGAGCAGGGTCTCCACCTAACTCAGTGTAACTTAGATACTTTCAGTGCTGACGGGACATTAATTCCACAGGTCAGCTATTTCTTTCCAAAAGAAAATCATGAATGGATGAATTTACTTCTGTTCAGTCAGTGACTGGGGGCTTCCACTAGTCTGCTCAAGAGTTTGCAAGGCCAAGAAACAAATCTGTAAAATACATATGCCTCTGCAGACCCATTACCTTAATCATGGTGGAAATGGGATGCACCCGCCTCAGATTCTTCATTATGCTCTCTGCCAAGTTGGCCACAGAGAGGCCAATGGCCCAGGACGTATAACCTTTCAGTTTGATCACCTCATAGGCGCTGTGGAATGGGAAGGATGGGAAAAGGGAAAGAAGGGTAGGGAAGGACAAGGAAAATAAAGGCTTTACCAAACACATTTTATAATCAATAATACCACCAAGACATGTTATATAGTTAAGCAGGACCTCTGACAGTAAGGGCAAAAGGAAGGCAAAACGTTTAACACCCCCACAATTGACTAAGTCTTGTATATTGATAGAAGAAATATTACATTGTCAAAACAGCAACAAAGCTAGTGATTCTCAGAAATGAAATATGGAGGAGCAGGTGAGAGGGTTCAGAGGCTAAGACTAGGACTCATGGCAGAAAAACAAAAGTGAAATAGTAATTGGACCGGAATCGTATCCCGTGACAGAATGTGTTCCTAGCATGCATGAGACTCTGGTCCCAGCACCTCAAAGAAAAAGTGTGGTGTCTTGAATGAGATGTCCTCCATAAGGATAGGTCTTTCAAACATTTGCTCCCCAGCTGATATCTCTTTGGGGAAGGATTAGGAGGTGTGGTCTTGCTGGAAGGAAGCATGTCACTGGGGGCGGGCTCTGAGGTTTTAAAAGACAAGCCCCACTTTGCTCTCGGCTTTGTCTCTGTGTAGAGATGAGTTCTCAGCTACTGCTCAGACAGCCTGCGGCCTTCTACCTATACCTCTGCTCTGCCACTACGGACTCCAACCCTTGGGAACAATCAGCCCAAACTTTCTTTTGGAAATTGGTTTGGTCCTGGTACTTATCAAAGCCAACAGAGAGTCACCCACTAATGCAAAATCCGTGAAGCAAGCACAGTGAAACCAGGTTGTCTCAAGTGAGACAGACTGAGGAGCAAAGTTCATTTTGCAGTGCTTCTATGATTGAATTAAGAATCAAAGTCAGGGCTGAGCAGTGGCGCATGCCTTGAATCCCAGCACTCGGTAGGCAGAGGCAGGTGGATCTCTATGATTTCAAAGCCGGCCAGGGCCACACAGAGAAACTGTCTAGAGAAAGAACCCCCCAAAAACAAACCGAAAGAATCTGGAGCATACTATACCCATACTATCCAAATCAAGAAGTTGACTGTGCTTCTATTAGTATTAGCATAAATAAGATATTTTTGTTACAAACACCCTATCTCTGGGGGCTGCAGAGGTAGCTCGGAGGTTAAGAGGACTGGCAGCCCTTCAGCACCTAGGTTTGTCTGTAACTCCAGTTCCAAGGAATCCTGTGACCTCTTCTGGACGACACGGGTACTGCATTCATGCAGTACAGACGCGGGCAGGCAGGACACCCATAAGTACATCTTGTAAAGAGCTCTAAAGACCTTTCTGAGTGAATTAATGTATCGTCGAGGGTAGAACTAACTTGTTTGAACTTGCTTTCAAAGGCCTTTTTGTGCGTGGCAAATCCGTTTCCAGCTGTAAAAGTGCTGAACTAGGTTCCACGGAGAGACAACCGTGCTGCTTCTGAAGGGTCTATGTGTCTGTGCCCTGCGAGTCACATTTTCTCAGAGTTCTTCCACAAGTGTTTATGGCTTACAGTCTTTAAAGATAGATCTCAGCCAGGCACAGTGGGGGCACAGGTAAATCTCTGTGAGTTCCAGTCCAGCCTGGTCTACATAGTCAGTTCTGGGCCAGCTAGAGGTACACAATAAGACTCTGTCTCGGGCTGGAGAGATGGCTCAGAGGTTAAGAGCATTGCCTGCTCTTCCAAAGGTCCTAAGTTCAATTCCCAGCAGCCACATGGTGGCTCACAACCATCTATAATGGGGTCTGGTGCCTTCTTCTGGCCTGCAGGCTTACACACAGAATATTGTATACATAATAAATAAATATTTTTTAAAAAGACTCTGTCTCAAAAAAATAAGTCACATAAAATATCATTTTACTTTAACTAAGAATCAATTTGGCCGGGCGGTGGTGGCGCATGCCTTTAATGCCAGCACTCGGGAGGCAGAGGCAGGCAGATCTCTGTGTGCCTTTAACCCAAGCACTCAGGAGACAGAGGCAGGCAGATGTTTAGAGTTCTAGGTCAACCTAGTCTACATAAAAACCCTGCCTCAAAGCAAAACAGCACAACGACAACAACAAAAGAATCGGTTCATCTTTACCATGAAATCAAAATACTAGGACATAAGCACTACAAGACAGAATTAACTTTTACTTATTGTTTTGATTTTTCCAAGACAGGGTTTCTCTGTGTAGCCTTGGCTGTCTTGGACCAGGCTTGGCCTCAAACTCACAGAGACCCGCCTGCTTCTTTCTCCTGAGTGCTGAGATTAAAAGCATAAACCACCACCACCACCTGGTGAACTTTTAATATTTTATTGTTGCTTAAATATCTAAACATAGATTCCAATTACCTTAAAAGTTACTATAGACAACTTTCCGACCACTTTAAGTGACTGGTACAGGCCTCAAGTGATGGTGCACATCTTTAATCCCAGCACTTAGGTGGATGAAGGCAGAAAATCTCTGTGGATCAGGGCCAGCCTGGATGACAGGATAATACTCTGTCTCAAATATATATACCCGTATATATAATCAGACATGTCCATCAAAGAAACTCTGAGGAATAGACTAAACAAGTAACTCAAGTTGTTGAGGGTAGCACAGACAAAGAGCCAGAGGCAGGTATGGACCACGAAGGCCTCTTGTGGGAATGTCAGAAGCCTGGGGCTGCTCCTCTCACAATGAATGACTTTGGGGCACCTTAGCATTACTGCACCCTCCTTCCTGGGAACCAGGACCCTGGTAACCAACCACGCGTGCACGGGAGCTTTGAGTACTTTCCATCCCCATTGTAGTCTTTCTTCAATAGACCCGGACCCTGGAACTGGGGTGAGACGACCTGCAGGTGTTCCTCCTTGTAATTGCCATAGCATTGATCAAGTAGAGTTAGCTGACCGCTGAATGAACTAGTCAAAATAGTTGACAAATGATTTCTGGACTTTCCCTTTGATTCTGTACTACCCCCTCCCTGATTTTGTGGTTTTTTTCCTTTAAAAGAGCCTGTAATAGACAAAGCAGGTCCTTCTCCTCTGCCATGGCAGAATAAAAATTCCTCTTGCTATTGCATCAACTGTGCTGAGAGTGTCTCTTGGGGCGACCTCCTCCTTGGTGGGGCGACCTCCTCCTTGGTGGGGCTTTAGGGTCCAACAACAAAACCAAAGATACAAAGCTACAAAACAAAACTACAGGCATTTTCTATGTGAAATTAACTCCCTTAAAAAATTTATTTATGTGGGGCCGGAGAGACGGCTCAGAGGTTAAGAACACTGCCTGCTCTTCCAGAGTTCCTGAGTTCAATTCCCAGCAACCATGTGGTGGCTCACAACCATCTGTAATGAGGTCTGGTGCCCTCTTCTGGCCTGCAGGCATACATGCAGAAAGGATATTGTATACATAATAAATAAATATTTAAAAAAATTATTTATGGAAGCTGGAGCGATGGCTCAGTGGTTAAGAGCACAGGCTGCTCCTCCGGAGGACCTGAGTTCAATTCCCAGCAACCACATGGTGGCTCACAACCATCCGTAGAGGGATCTGATGTCCTCTTCTTCAGGAATAAAGTCATACATACAGATAGAACACCTATATATATAAAATAATTGAATCTAAAAAATTTTTATGTGTATGGGCATTTTGCCTGCGTGTATGTATGTATTTATGTTTGTATGCATGCGTGTATGTGAATCACCTACGTGCTTGATTCCCACAGAAGCCAGAAGAGGGCAGCAGATTGCTGGAGCTAGAGTTACAGATGGTTGTGAGCCACCGTGTAGTACTGGGAATCCAATCCAGGTCCTCTAGAAGAGCAGCCAGTGCGCTTAACCACTCTCCAGACACCTGCAAAATTTATTCCATTTTTTTCAAGACAGGGTTTCTTTCTCTGGGTATCTACACCAGCTGCCCTGGAACTCACTCTGTAGCCAGGCTGGCCTTGAACTCACAGAGATCCATTTTCCTCTGTCTCCCGACTGCTGGGATTAAAGGTATGCGCCACCAGAGCTCAGCTCAAAACTTTAATTTTTTAGATTTATTTATTATGTATATGGTGTTCTGCCCGAATGCCATAAGAGGGCACCAGACCTCATTTTAGATTGTTGTGAGCCATCAAATTTTATTCTTTTTATTCATTTTGTTTTGTTTCTTGATACAGAGTTTCTTTGTAACTTTTGAGCCTATCCTACCTAGTACTTGCTCTGTAGACCATGCTGGCCTTGAACTCACAGAGATCCTCCTGCCTTTACCTTCCAAGTGTTGGGATTAAAGCAGTGCACCACCGCCGCCCAGCCAAAATTTATTCATAATAATGATTATTGTGGCATTAACAATAACATAACCGCAGTCACCTTTCCACCACCTGATTGTGGATCTTTTTCCACTGTTCCTGGTCTGAGTCAGTTCCTAATGCTGGGTTCAGTGACTTCAGAGGTACGCCAGCAACGTTCACACCACTCCACAAGGGCACTAAGAAAACAAAACAAAAAAAAAAAACAGCTCTCCTCTTTGCTCCTCTTGCCAAAAGCTGAGTCAGTTGCTTGAGTTTAGTGCTGGGGTGTTTTGTTGGGGGCGGGGGATTCTGTTCTGCTTTTGGTTTGGTTCTTTTGAGAAAGGACCCAGCTACCTTCCAATTCCTATCTTCCTGCCTTTGCCCTGAGCGCTGGATGGCAAGAATCTGCCACCACACTTGGCTAGAGTTGACTGACAGGTTTCCTTCTTTTTATTTTAAGATTTATTTTATTATGTATACAGTGTTCTGCCTGAGTGTGTGCCTGCATGCCAGAAGAAGACACTAGATCTCATTATAGATGGTTGTGAGCCATCTTGTGGTTGCTAGGAATTGGACTCAGGACCTCTGGAAGAACTAACCTCTGTGCTCCTAACCTCTGACCCATTGCTCCAACCACTTGTTCTTTGTGTTTAAGAAAGGCTGGCCTCAAATCCCATGTACAGCCAAAGATGGCCTCAAACTTCTGACTTGCCTGCCTCCACCCCACCTCAAATTATTAGATTTTAGGAATACATCACCACTTTTGGCTTTTGGTTGGTTGAGAGTGTTGAGCTTTGTACCTGAGGATGTCTGCAAACCCCTGATCCTCAGGTCCCAGCTTTTAAGTACTGATATTACAAGTGTTCACCACTGCACCAAGATGTATTTTCTTATTTATTTATTATGTATACAATATTCTGTCTGTGTGTATGCCTGCAGGCCAGAAGAGGGCACCAGACCTCATTACAGATGATTGTGAGCCACAATGTGGTTCCCGGAAATTGAACTCAGGACCTTTGGAAGAGCAGGCAATGCTCTTAACCACAGAGCTATCTCTCCAGCCCACCCAGATGTACTTTCTATGTGGGTTTTAATGTTAGGGTGCTATCTCACATCATATATAAATACAAGAAGTTATGGTTTTTCTTGTTAAGATTTATTTTATCATTTTTGTTTGTATTACTGTGAGTTTTACTTAGGGGTACATGTGTGTTTGGTATGTGGGTTGTGCACATAAGTGGATCCCCTGAAACTGGAGTGATGTCATCTAAATATGAAATATAAAAAGGCACACTGAGACAGGGGAGAAGGGAGGTTATGAGATACTGGGGAAGGTAGGAGAAAGGGAGGCAAGGGGCGGCACACACTTCTGAGCAGAAGGGAGGAGAGCACCAGTGCTCCACTGCAGAGTCAGGGGACTGTAGTCAGTGATTATGTGGTCCTGGGCTGGGAGAGTGGGAAACAGAGGCAGGGGAGCAAGCTTCAAGGTCATTCTCAGCTAATGGACAAGGTTCAGGCCAGCCTGATACTCAGGAGACCTGGTCTTTACAAAAGGCAAGTATGGTCTCTGGCTGGAGACAAGGCTCATTAGTGAAGAACAGATAATGCACCCACATCAGACAGCTCACAACCCACCTCCACCCCAGTTCCAGGGAGATGCAATACCTGGCCTCTGCAGGCACCTCCACTCAGGTGAACATACCCACACGCAGATAATGTAATTTAATAAAAATAATTTTGAAATGTTGTCTATCTCAAACTAGGTAGGTTTTTTAGTGTTCTCAGCCCAGAGATAGGATAGATTTATAAGGTGACCACAAAGCTGAAGATGCTGACTTGATCACTGTGTCACATACATATGGATCAAGACACCTCAATGTACTCTCCACATATGCATAAGTATGCATCAATAAATGTTTTTCATTGTTTCAGACAGGGTATTGCTTTGTAGCCCAGGCTGGCCTAGAACTAGCTATCCTCCTGCTTCTACCTCTGAAGTTCTGGGATTCCAGGTAGACACTACCATGCCTAGCTCAATTAAAACAGTCTGGAAAGCATACAAATAGAAAAAGCATACACCAAAGAAAATAAGAAAATAAAAATTATTCATCTATCCTGGCGTGAACGGGCTCTGAAGAGAAGCTTTACTGAACCCCGGAAGGACACTTACACCATCACTGGCTACACTCACCGCTGGAGTCGCCGTGCTCACCAAGAACGTAGCCATGGCAACTTACAGGGTGGACACCCAACTTCTCTCCAATCAGGTAACGGAAACGGGCAGAGTCTAGGTTACAGCCACTCCCAATTATGCGAGTTGCAGGGAGGCCACTTATCTTCCATACCACGTAAGTCAAAATATCCACTAGGAAGAACAGTTTCAAACAGCGTTAGAGAAAGATCCATAGCCATTTCTATTTACAGGCACTTTTATAAAAAGATACATTGTCTGGAGTCAAATGCAGATTCATCGGAGTTTAAAGTACAGTGGATCTAAAGAGTAGAGATGCTCAGGGCTTTCATGTAAATCGCTCGCCCATACAGTCTTACAGCATCTTCTGAGATACTCTAAGGGCTTTTCAGCAAATCTAATAATGGGTCAGTTTCTGCCTCTTTAGCTTCCTGGATTTCCTGTTTCTATTGCCACCTGCACTATCAACGTTACCTAGAACAGTGCGTGGGCACAGCCAGTGCAGGCTGCAGGTGTGTGGGCAATGTGGAAAGATCACAGCAACTTGTGCAAGAGGAAACAGAAACGTGATGGCTAAGGCACAGTCAAAAACTGCTGAGCTGGGTCCCAAAGACACACCCAAGAAAGGAGGGCAGGAAGGTTTGGGAAATTGCTTAAGGTCTTAGGCATTTAAAGAAAATTCTGTCCAGGCATTAACTGATCACTAAACAAACACAATAAAAACTCCTGTGCCTTGTAACCGAAATCTACAGACTGCAGACTCATGAAACCCAACCTCAAGAAGCCACAACAGACTTGGAGGTGAGGAGGATTTGACTTGCAAATGTTTTTGTGGAGGGCTGGTGAGATGGCTCAGCTATTAAGAGCCCTCACTGGCTGCTCTTCCAGAGGACCCAGGTTTGAGTCCCAGCGCCCAAATGAAACTTACAACCATCTGTAATTCCAGTTCCAAAGAATCCAGCATCCCTTCTGAAAGAGGTACCAGGTATGCATGTGGTGTATGGACATACTTGCACACAAACTCCCATGTAAATAAAAAAATAAAATAAAATAAAGAAAAATTAACAGAGCTAGGAAACACTTGTGATAGTAGCAAGGATGTCAACATACAGTATCTGGCCAGACTAATCCTCAAAAATAAGATGTCTGGGGAACTCTTTGGAAAGGCTGGCAAGTGGCTGGGCATTGGTGGGGCACGCCTTTAATCCCAGCACTTGGAAGGCAGAAGCAGGCGGATCTCTGAGTTCGAGGCCAGCCTGGTCTACAAGAGCTAGTTCGAGGACAGACTCCAAAGCTACAGAAAAACCCTGTCTTGAAAATAAATGAAAGGCTGACAACAGAGTGCTGGAGGGGAGGGGGATGCCGAAGGCACGGATCTTTGAAAACCTGTGTGCAACGTCTAACAGAGTCAAACACTTTAGAGTATATAACCCACTTGGGCCCTCCTGCCCCCCCATCATTTACTCTAAAGAAAGAAGACATATGACCATGCAAATGCTTGCACACAAATATTCACATTATCCTTAAGAGCCCTCAGTGAGGGCTGCAGAGGTGGCTCAGTGGTTAAGAGCACTGGCTGCTCTTGCAGAGAACCTGGGTTTGGTTTCAAGCACCCACATGATGGCTCACAACTATCTGGAACTTAGACCAGGCTGGCCTCGAACTCCCAGAGATCCGCCTGTGTTTTTTTTTTTTAAAGAGGGGGAAAGGGGCTGGAGAGATGGCTCAGAGATTAAGAGCATTGCCTTTCCAAAGGTCCTGAGTTCAATTCCCAGCAACCACATGGTGGCTCACAACTATCTGTAATGGTGTCTGGTGCCCTCTTCTGGCCTGCAGGCATACACAAAGACAGAATATTATATACATAATAAATAAATAAATATTTTTTTTTAAAAAAAAGAGGGGGAATTGGCATGGGAGAATTATCTGTATTCTGTCAATCATATTTCAAATAAACACTGATTGGCCAAGCAGGAAGTATAGGCGGGAAAACCAGACAGTAAGTTGAAATGATGCAATGAGAACAGGAGACTTCTGGGAAGGAGGAAGTTGATTTCACCCAGTCCTGCACAGACCACCAAGGAAGCGGGATATGACCTGCCAGCTGAAAAAGGTACCCAGCCATATGGCTAAAATAGATCAGAATAATGGGTTAATATAAGCTACAAGAGCTAATAAGTAGCCTGAGCTAATTTGCCAATCAGCTTTATAACTTATAGAGATCTCTGTGTGATTTTCTTTGGGCTTGCCGGCTGTGGGGTAACAGGCAGGACAGAAACCCCAACAAGCAGGCCCTGTTCATGTTACAGGTACCCATGTATACATGTAAGCAAAACATTCATACACATAAAATAGACATCAACAGGTGAAAATAGAGTGTTTGTAGCGTATAAGCAGGACTGCAGAGATGGCTCCATTGATGGAGTGCTTGCTGGGCAAGCATTAGGACCTGAGTTCAGATCTCAGCACCCATGTAAAAAGCAAAACATGGGGGGGGGTAGAGAGATGGCCCAATGGATAAGAGCACTGGCTGCTCTTCCAGAGGACCTGAGTTCAATTCTCAGCAACCACATGGCATCTCACAATCATCTCTAATGGGATCTGGTTTTTTAAAATTATTAATAAATAGGGTTAGTGATGGTTGGGGTTGTAGAGACAGATAGGTCTGAGAACGTAATGTCAGGAATCCAGTCAAAACTGTAAGCTCCATGTTCAGCGAGAGATGCTAAAGAGCCGTGGAGGAAGACACCAACTTCCAGCCTCCACATGGCCATGCCAGTGCACACAGAGACACACTGCATCACACACACACACACACACACACACGGAAACATAAAGAGAAGAAGCCTGCAGTGCAAAGGTGTAAAAATCCATGATATGGCCAGGTGGTGGTGGCGTACGCCTTTAATGCCAGCACTTGGGAGACAGAGGCAGGCAGAGCTCTGTGAGTTCGAGGCCAGCCTGGTCTACAAGAGCTAGTCTAGGACAGGCTCCATATCTACAGAGAAACCCTGTCTCGAAAAACAAAAACAAAACAAAACAAAAAAATCACTGACACATCCAAGACATAGTTGGACCTAAAAATAACTGCTATAAAAGGGTCTGGGTAGAAAAGCTTGAACTCTCTGCTCGGTTTTGTTTTGTTTTGTTGAGGAAGTTCCAGAAAATGTGTCAAACGACCCGGCAGCAGTGACAGGGATGCTCCAGATCTTACTGGGATGGCACCATGATGGCGTCTATTAAAACTTGTGACATGGGAGACTTTGAGTGGACGAAGATTAATAACCCACAAATGCAACCTTAGCGGAGTTTAGAATGGAATGGTGCAGGCCAATCATCACCCCAGAGGGGACGGGGTCCTTACCTGGGTTTGAGACAATCAGGATTTTACAGTCGGGGCTGTTTTGGACTATGCCGGGAACGATGGATTTCATGATAACAACATTGCGCTGGACCAGGTCAAGGCGCGACTCTCCCACCTTCTGCCTGGCGCCAGCTGTGATGATAACTAATTTGGAGTTGGCAGAGACACTGTAATCTAAGAAGGAAGCAGAGAACGGTGTTTGGATCAGGACTGACACCATTGCGCCTGACTCGTTAAGCATCTGTACCTGAACATCCTGGATTTGGAAAAAGACAAGACTCCCCACACTGGAGCATCAGGCATACAAGACTTGTTGCCAGCTTTCATAAAACACTTCCTAATCTGCCATCCGCTTTAACCCACATTCCCAGTTGTCAGAAAGGCCTAGGGTAAGGAAATCAGCAGCTCTCGGGCTTCAGTTTTTGCTTTCTTGTGTTGCTGGGAATTGAACTAACAGCCATGCCAGCACTGAACTAAATCCCCAGTGCCCTGACTTTTTAGCAATACCCAATTTAGAACTCGCCAGGTGGCAGTGGCTCAGATTTTTAATCCTAGCACTTGGGAGGAAGAGGCAGGTGGATCTCTGTGAGTTTGAGGCCAGCCTGGTCTACAGAGTGATTTCTAGACAGTCAGATCTGTTACACAGAGGAACCCTGTCTCAAAAAATCAAAGAAAAAAAATTTAGAGCTCGTGAGGGTTTTTTTGTTTTTTGTTTTCGAAACAGGGTTTCCCTGTAGTTTTTGGTGCCTGTCCTGGAACTAACTAGCTCTTGTAGACCAGGCTGGCCTCGAACTCACAGAGATCCGCCTGCCTCTGCCTCCCGAGTGCTGGGATTAAAGGCATGTGCCACCACTGCCCGGCTCTTGAGAATTTCAATATCTATTTTAGGATTCTAAAGGAAAGAACAGATTTACCTCTAATTATTATAAAAAACCATATTTGAGATTACAAATAAGTCAGATCTCTAATTCACACAAGTAATAAACCACCAATATTACTAAATGTAATTACCAGCCTGGAAATTATTTCACTTACTATATCCAACCCCAATAAGACAAGCTTTGCTTATTATTATTAAACATTATTTGATGCTATTTCAATTAGCAATTCCTTTAAGTATCTAAGACATTCACATTCTCATTTATTTGTGTGTGTATGTGTGTGAGTGTGCCATGCCATGGAATTCATGTGGAGGTCAAAGAGCAACTTGGGGGAGTCAGGGTCTCATTCTATCAAATGGGTCCCTCAACTTGGGGGAGTCAGGGTCTCATTCTATCAAATGGGTCCCTCAACTTAGGGGAGTCAGGGTCTCATTCTATCAAATGGGTCCCTCAACTTAGGGGAGTCAGAGTCTCATTCTATCAAATGGGTCCCTCAACTTGGGGGAGTCAGGGTCTCATTCTATCAAATGGGTCTCTCAACTTGGGGGAGTCAGGGTCTCATTCTATCAAATGGGTCTCTCAAACTGAACTCAGGTCATCAGGCTTGGTAAGAAGGGCCTTTATCACACTTTTAAAACCACCACAATGAAAACAAGGTCTCAGGGCTGAAGAGATGGTTCAGTGGTAAAAACACTTCATGATTTTCTAAAGGACACAAGTTCAGTTCCTATTACCCATATCTGGTGGCTCCCAACTTCCTCTAACTTCAGATCTTGTGATCCAATGCCTTTGGCCTCCACAAGTCCCTGCAATCACGTGCACATAACTACATGCATATACATGTGTGTGTGTATACACAGACACATCATTTAAAAAATACTAAAAACAGGGGCTGGAGAGATGGCTCAGTGGTTAAGAGCATTGCCTACTCTTCCAAAGGTCCTGAGTTCAATTCCCAGCAACCACATAGTGGCTCACAACCATCTGTAGTGAAATCTGGTGCCCTCTTTTGACCTGTAGGCATATATGCAGACAGAATACTGAGAATACTGTATACATAATAAATAAATAAATCTTTAAAAATAATACTAAAAATAGGCAGGTTGTGGTGGTGCACACCTTTAGTCCCAGCGTTTGGAAGGCAGGGGCAGGGAGCTCTCTGTGAGTGTGAAGCCATCCTGGTCTCATAGTGAGTTCCAGAACAGCCAGAACTATGTAGAAAGACCCTCAAAAAAGCAAATAATAGTAATAATAGACATATAGTTGATAGACAGACAGACAGATAGTTGATAGATAGACAAACCGAAAAATCAGCAAATTAACTAATAATTACGGTTACATATTTTGGGTCAATATGAAGTGTTTACACTGCTTCTCTAGGATACTTTTTAGTTAAATAACTACTGTCAGTGGTGGTCATTTTATGACTTACTCATTTAATATTTTATGGGCTTGAGTATTTTGCCTACATGTATGTCGATATACCACATGAGTGCAATGCCTCAGAGTCTGATAGGAGACATCAAATCTCTTGGTCCTGGGGTTACAGATGGTTGTGAGACACCCCGTGGGTGCTGGGAATCAAACCCAAATCCTTTACAATAGCGGTGAGCATCACTAACCACTGAGCCATCTCTCCAGCCTCAAAGGAGTTTTGTATTGTTCTGCCTTCCAAATTTCCCCCATTGCAATTTAATATTCTTTATAAAAATAATAACAATCAGGCTTGCAAATGAGGTGGCTTACACCTTTAATCCCAGGAGTCAAGAGGCAGAGGCAGCTGGATCTCTGTGAGTTTTTGGTCAGCCTGGTCGACATACTAAGTTCTAGAACAGCCAGAGCTACATAGAGAGAATCTGTCTGAAAACAAAAACAACAACAAACAATGAATGAATTAATTAAATCTTTACTCTGGGCTTGGTGGAACACACCTTAAATCTTAGCACTCCGGAGGCAGAAGCAGACATTTATGTGAGTTTCAAGTCAACCATGGCCATATGCTAAGATTCTATCTCAAAATAAATAAATAGATCAAGCAGAAATTAGCCTTAAAATTGTATGTCCTAATGAAGTATTATGTATGTATGACTGTATTTTAAAAAAATTTTTTCAATTTGATTTTTCAAGACAGTTTCCCTGTGTAACAGCCTTAGCTGTCCTGGAACTTACTCTGTAGACCAGGCTGGCCTCAAACTTACAGATATTTGCCTGCCTCTGCCTCCCGAGTGCTGGGATTAAAGACGTGCGCCACCACTGCTCATATCAGTGATATTTTTAATTATATACTTATTGCAGTCAATTTGGTCGATTTTTTTTATTATGTATACAGTATTCTGCCTGAATGTATCACTGCAGGCCAGAAGAGGGCACCAAATCCTGTTACAGATGGTTTTGAGCCACCTTGTGGTTGCTGGGAACTGAACTTTGGACCTTTGGAAGAGCAGGAAAAGCAGTCAACTACTGAGCAATCTCTCCAGCCCGCCTTTTTGATTTTTTGAAATGGGTTTCATGTAGTCCAGGCTGAACTCAAACTCAGTACGTAGCTGAGGCTGGAATAAACTCCTGCTCATCCTTCTACCTCCACCTCACAAATGTTGGGATTATAAGGTATCCAAGCCGTTACAAATGACAAAATTGAGTACTTCTTACGAATCTTTGAAAGTGAAATTATCACACTAAAATCAACCTTTCCCAGAGACGATTTTTGGAGTGTTGAAGAAAAGGCTGCCGTGCAGAAGATCCAGGGTCTCTCCCTTCAGTTTGTCTGCATCAGCATCAATAAGAGCGAGTTCATCAGCCAGACCCTGAAACACAGAAACATCACAGATAGCGCAAGTTCATCAGCCAGACCCTGAAACACAGAAACGTCACAGATACCATGGCCCAGACCTTTAGGAGACCAAGAAGGGTTCCAGAGCAGAGGGCAGAGCTTCACTGGCAAAGTGCCTGCCCTGTGTGTGAAGCCAAGCCAGATCTCAAGCACTGAAATAATAATGACAAATTGTTATATGTCCACTTTATACCCAATGAAATCTTGTAGGCTTTTGTTTTGTTTGTTTTTGGTTTTGTGGGATTTTTTGTTTATGTTTTGTATTGATTTTCTTTTTTTTTTAAGACAGGGTCTGTGTGTGTGTGTGTGTGTGTGTGTGTGTGTGTGTGTGTGTCTTGATTGAACTAGAATTTTCTCTGTTAACCAGCTGGCCTCAAACTCCTGGTAAAAATGATACAGTTGCTGAATATGCAGAGAGTGACCAGAGGTCCAAGTGAACAGGCAAATGCAGGAGAAGTATCAATTGCTTTACGTTTACAAAACCATAAGAATTTTATAAAATTGCATCTTTACATTTTTTAGAGATTATATTTTATTATTTACATTTATTTGTATGTGGGTATCTGCATGGTGTGTATGTGTAACATGTGTGTAGTAAGTACTCAGAGACCAGAAGAGGGTGCCAATCCTCCAGAGCTGGAATTCCAGGTAGTGAGTCCACTTGATGCAGGGGCTGTAAGAATAGCAAGTGCTCAGGCCAGGCTGTGGTGGCGCACGCCTTTAATTCCAGCACTCGGGAGGCAGAGGCAGGCAGATCTCTCTGAGTTTGAAGCCAGCCTGGTCTACAGAGTGAGTTCCAGGACAGGCTTCAAAGCTACAGAGAAACCCTGTCTCGAAAAGCAAAAACAAAAAAAAAAAACAAAAAAACAAATTCAATGCAATGCCCAGCAAAATTCTTCAAAGACCTCAAATGAATGGCACTCAACTTCATATGGAAAAGCAAAATACCCAGGATAGCCAAAACAGTGCTAGGCAATAAAAGAACTTCTGGAGGCATCACAGCCCCTGACTTCAAACTCTACTACGCAGCTACAATACTGAAAACAGCTGGTATTGGCATAAGAACAGACAGGAGGAATGGAACCAAATAGAAGACCCAGATATCAATCCACACATCTTCAAACACCTTATCTTTGATAGCAAAAGCTTTCAAATGAAAAAAGAAAGCATATTGAACAAATGGTGCTTGCATAACAGGACATAACATGTAGAAGAATGTAAATAGACCCATATCTATGACCATGAACAAAATTCAAGACCAAATGGATCAAAGGCCTCAACATAAAACCAGCCACACTGAACCTTACAGAAGAGAAAGTGGGAAGTACATTTGAATGCATTGGCATAGGGAACCACTTCCTAAATATAACCCTAGCAGCACAGACACTGAGAGAAACAATTAATAAATGGGACCTCCTAAAACTGAAAAGCTTCTGTAAAGCAAAGGACATGGTCAACAAGACAAAACGACAGTCTACAGAATGGGAAAAGATCTTCACTAACCCCACATTAGAGGTCTGATCTCCAAAATAAAGAACTCAAGAAATTGGACACCAAAAGATCACATAATCCAATAAAAAAATGGAGTACAGATCTAAACTGAGAACTCTCGACGAGGAATCTAAAATGACTGAAAGACACTGAAGGAAATGTTCAACATCCTTAGTCATCAGAGAAATGCAAATCAAAACAACTCTGAGATTCCATCTTACACCTGTAAGAATGACCAAGATCAAAAACTCTGATGACAACTTATGCTGAAGAGGTTGCGGGGAAAAGGGAATAGTTCTGCATTGCTGGTGGGAATGCAAGCTGGTACAACCCCTTTGGATGTCAGTGTGGTGATTTCTCAGAAAATTAGGAAACAACCTTCCTCAAGACCCAGTAATACCACTTTTGGGTATATATCCAAAGGATGCTCCATCATGCCACAAAGACATGTGCTCAACTATGTTCATAGTAGCTTTGTTTGTCATAGTCAGAACCTGGAAAAAACCTAAATGCCCTTCGAACGAAGAATGGATAAGGAAAATGTGGTACATTTACATAATGGAGTACTACACAACAGAAAAAAATAATGACAGCTTGAATTTTGCAGAAAAATGGATGGAACTAGAAAACATTATTTTGAGTGAGGTAACCCAGACATAGAAAGACAATTATCACATGCACTCACTCATAGGTGGTTTTTAACATAAAGCAAAGAAAGTCAGCCTACAAACCACAATCCCAGAGAACTTAGACAACAATGCAGACACTAAGAGAGACTTACATAGATCTAATCTACATGGGAAGTAGAAAGTAGAAAAAGACAAAATCTCCTGAGCAAATTGGGAGCATGGGGACTTTGGAGGAGGATTGAAGGGAGGAGGGGAGAGGCAGGGAAGGGAGCAGAGAAAAATGTAGAGCTCAATAAATATCAATAAAAAAGAAATAAAAAATATATAAAGAACTCAAGAAACTAGACTTTAAAATGCTAATTAACCCAATTAAAAAATGGGGCATTGAACTGAACATAGAATTCTCAACAGAAGAAGTTCAAATGGCCAAAAGACACTTAAGGTCATGCTCAACCTCCTTAGCGATCAGGAAATGCAAATCAAAACAACTTTGAGATACCATCTTACACCTGTCAGAATGGCTAAAATCAAAAACACCAATGATAGCCTTTGCTGGAGAGGATGTGGAGTAAGGAGAACAATCTTCCATTGCTGGTGGGAATGCAAACTTGTGCAACCACTTTGGAAATCAGTGAGGCAGTTTCTCAGGAAATTTGGGATCAACCTACCCCAGGATCCAGCAATACCACTCTTGGGAATATACCCAAGAGATGCCCTATCATACTACAAAAGCATTTGTTCAACTATGTTCATAGCAGCATTATTTGTAATAGCCAGAACCTGGAAACAACCTAGATGCCCCTCCATGGAAGAATGGATAAAGAAGGTGTGGAATATATACATATTAGAGCACTACCTAGCGGTAAAAAACAATGTCCAACGACATCTTTGAATTCTGCATGCAAATGGATGGAAATAGAAAACACTATCCTGAGTGAGGTAACCGAGACCCAAAAAGATAAATATGGTATGTACTTACTCATAAGTGGATTCTAGCCATAAACAAAGGACATTGAGCCTATCATTCGGGATCCTAGAGAAGCTAAATAAGAAGGTGAACCCAAAGAAAAACATAGTTATCCTCCTGGATATTGGAAGTAGACAAGATTGACAGGCAAAAATTGGGAGCTTGTGGTTGGGGGTGGGGTGGGTAAGGGGAGAGGGAGAAAGAGAAGGAAAAAGGGGAGGATGGGGAGAGCTAGGGGGAATGGGGTGGTTGGGATGGAGGAAGGGTGGATATGGGAGCAGGGAAGTAGATATCTTAATTTTAAGGGAGCCATTTTAGGGTTGGCAAGAGACTTGACTCTAGAGGGGTTCCCAGGTGTCCAAGGAGATGTCCCCAGCTTATTCCTTGGGCAGCTGAGGAGAGGGCGCCTGAACTGATGAATATCTTGCATATCACCATAGAACCTTCATCTGGCGATGGATGGAGATAGAGACAGAGACCCACACTGGAGCACTGGACTGAGCTCCCAAGGTGCAAATGAGGAACAGAAGGAGGGAGAACATGAGCAAGGAAGTCAGGACCGTGAGGGGAGCGCCCACCCACTGAGACAATGGGACTGATCTAATGGGAGCTCACCAAGGCCAGCTGGACTGGGACTGATGGAACATGTGATCCAACTGGACTCTGAATGTGGCTGACAATGAGGGCTGACTGAGAAGCCAAGGACAATGGCACTGGGTTTTGCTTCTACTCCATGTACTGGCTTTTTGGAGCCTAGTCTGTTTGGATGCTCACCTTCCTAGATCTGGATGGAGAGGGGAGGACCTTGGACTTCCCACAGGGCATGGAACCCTGACTGCTCTTTGGACTGGAGGGGGATGGGGAGTGGGGGGAGAGGGAGGGAGATGGGAGGAGGTGGAATTTTTTTGTTTGTTTGTTTTGTTTTGTTTTTCTTTTGGTTTTTCGAGACAGGGTTTCTCTGTGGCTTTGGAGCCTGTCCTGGAACTAGCTCTGTAGACCAGGCTGGTCTCGAACTCACAGAGATCCGCCTGCCTCTGCCTCCCGAGTGCTGGGATTAAAGGCGTGCGCCACCACCGCCCTGCTAAAATATTTATTTATTTATTCATTATGTATACAATATTCTGTCTGTGTATATGCCTGAAGGCCAGAAGAGGGCGCCAGACCTCTTTATAGATGGTTTTGAGCCACCATGTGGTTGCTGGGAATTGAACTCAGGACCTTTGGAAGAGCAGGCAATGCTCTTAACCACTGAGCCATCTCTCCAGCCCCCGGAGGTGGAAATATTTAATAAAAATAATAAAAAAGGAAATTTATTCTCAGCCAGGCAGTGGTAACAAAAACCATGCCTTTAATTCCAGCACTCTGGAGGCAGAGGCAGGCAGATCTCTGTGAGTCTGAGACCAACCTGGTCTACAGAGCGAGTTCTAGCCAGCTGCAGCTATCTATGTAGTGAGACTGTATTAAAAACAAACAAACACAAATGCATTCTCAGGGCTGAAGAGATGACTCGGGAGTATGAGCTGATATTGCTTCTTATCTCCCTCCACAAGTTTCCAACATTGATCAAAGTGACATGGGGCTGGAGAGTAGGCTCTGTGGTTAAGAGCCCTGACTGCTCTTCCAGAGGACACAGGTTCAATTCCCAGCACCCACATGGCAGTCCGTACCTGTCCATAACTCCAGTTCCAGGGCTTCAGATGTGCACACAGGCAAAAACAAATTGACATTAATTAAAAATCAATTATTTTTCAAAAGGCATCAAAGTGACCGTGAAGCCCACAGGACCGTGGCATCTGTGCTCAGACAATCAGGGCCCAGTACCGTAGCGTGAGCTACCACACCGACTCTCCTCCTCTGCCCAAGGATTTCACACAGTCCAGCCTGCCCTCAAACTTGATCTGTAGCAACGGGTGATCTTGACCTGACCTTCTAGGCCTCCACCTCCCAAGTACTAGGATGACAGGCCTGCACCAACAACCACACCTAGCAAATGTTTAAATCGCCAACATGACAGATTTTCCGTATTTCCATTAAGGGATCAGCCCTGCAACCCTGACCTAAGAGCGTCTTTGATTTCCTGCAAGACGGCTTTCCTGCTTACCTTCAGTAAGATACTAATAGCACACGCCATGCCTACATTCCCAACTCCAACCACGGTGATCTTAGACCGGGAGGTTTTATCTTCTTGAGTTAGGTTCTGAATTAGCTGCTCCTTGACAGTGGACATGCTGAGCCTAAAGAGTAAAGGAAAATTTCAGTGGACACAGGCCCTACAGCCAAGACATTGAACAATCTATTTTTTTTTTTTTTTTTCTGGTGAGGAAGTGGAGTTGAGACAAGGTTTTGTATTGTATCTAGGACTGGCCAGAAAGTCTAGGTTGGCTTTGAACTCATGGCAATCCCCCTGCCTTAGCCACTCAGAGTGCTGGGATTACAGGCCCGTGCCACCATACCTGGTTTAGGAGCTACCTCTTGAGTCTGCAGATCGCAGGAGCAGGGGAGGAGGGAAGCCAGAGAGTTCCCTAGCTGGAGTGTGGAAACCAAGTGAAGCCTGGTGAAGCAGAGGAGACAGGTTCCTCCCTGCGTGCTGGCTCCTCCTTCTCAGCAGGCTCCACCCTTCCCCAAAACCCACAAAGGCTTTCTTTCCCAGGTGGATGAAGCCACTGCCCACCGCCTCTGAGGATGTAGAAGTATACCCTTCCGCTGACAGCGCAGCACAGGTGTGTCACCCAGGATCACCGTTAGGCTCCGAAGCCAAGGCTGTAACGAACCAGGAACGCGCCAGACTCTACGTCACATGCAAGCTCCGCCCTCTGCCGGCCAGGTACTTTGGTGCAAGCAAGCATGCCCACTGGTGCTTCCTCGGAGTCGGAAAGAGGACCTCTATGAGGTTTCCTAAGCTGCTAGGGGAAGGTTTGCATGCACTGAGACCACACAGAAGATGGCAGTCAGCTTGGAAAGGGCCTCCTTGAAGGCCCTGCTTGAACTGCACTATCTTTCTGCTGCAAGGAAATGCAGAACTTGGAGACTGAGGGGCATACTCCATGCTTTTGCCCTTACATCTGCATCTGTTTGTAGGCATTTAAATAACTGCTGGTCTTGGGAGGTGGCCCAGTCCGCATAGGGCTTGCAACGCAAGCATGAGGACTTGAATTGGATCCCAGAACACAGGTATAAAGCTGTGGAGTTTGTTCTACAGGCCATGCTCCCAGCACTGGGGAGACAGAGACCGAGGCTTCCTACAATTCCCTAGATACCGAGTGAGCTCTAATTAGCAAGCACCCCCAAAAAACAGGGTGAATGACACCTGAGCAGGGAGCAAAAGCTGATGTCATCCTCCGCCGTCCATGTGCACCAGCATGCATGTACACACATACACACACACACACACACACACACACACACACACACGCGCGCGCGCGCGCGCGCAGTGTTCTCAGCCTGTGGGTCTTGACCCCTTTAGGGGTAAATATCCTGCATATCAGATATTTAAATTATAATTCATAACAGCTGAAAAATTGCAGTTATGAAGTGGCAATGGAATAATTTTTGTTTTGTCTTTTAAGTTAGGGCTTCTCTGTGTAACTTTGGCTGTCTTGGAACTCATTCCGTAGACCAGGCTGGCATCTAATTCATAGAGCTCCTTTGCCTCTGCCTCCTGAGTGCTGGGGTTAAAGGTGTGCACCACCACTGCCTGGCCTACAATGAAATAATTTTATGATTGGAGGTCACCACGACATAAGGAACTGTGTTAAAGGGTCATAGCATTAGGAAGCCTGAGAATCATTGCTCTAAAGGAATGGAACTACCAGAATATATACGTACACACACATACATGTGTATATGCAAATAAACATATATACACATATACATACATATTAAAAGATGTGTTAAACTGGCCTACAGGCTGTGGTCTGGGTTGTCCAACAATGGCTGGGAATCCAGTAGTTGCTCAGTCCACAAGGTCTGATGTCTCAGCAGTTCCAAACTGCCACTGAAGGTCTGGAGGATCCCGACAGCTGCGCATCCTCAGTCTACACTGGCGTCCTGAAGAAGCTAATTCTAATATGAGTGACAGAATGCCACTGCAAAAGAGCTGATGAAGTTGTCAGCAAGACCGACAGCAAGCAGGTGAAAAAAAGAAGAAAAGTTTCCTTCTTCCAGGTTCTTTGCTATAGGCTGCTACCAGAAGGTGCTTCCTAGATGTAGGATGACTCTCCCTGCTTCAAACAATCTGATTAAGAGAGTCCCTCAGATGGATCTTCAAAATATACAAAGGACTCAAGAAACTAGACATAAAAGAACAAATAATCTAATTTAAAAAAATGGGATACAGACCCAAACAGAGAACTCTCAACGGAGGGATCTGACGTGGGATTCCCCTTTGTATGCTATGAATATGTTTTATTACCATAGGTTAATGAAGAAACTGTTTCAGGCAATGGCTTGGCAGAGTAAAGCCAGGCAGTAAATCTGAACAGAGATATAGAGAGAGAGTAGACAGAGTCAAGAAGACGCCATGTAGTTGTCGAAGGAGAAGGATGCTGGAAACTTACTGGCAAGCTACAGCCTTGTGGTGATACATAGATTAATAGAAATGTGTTAATTTAAGATGTAAGAGCTATGATGAGCGATGGTAGTGCACACTTTTAATCCCAGCACTCCGGAGGCAGAGACAGGTGGATCTCTGTGAGTTCAAGGCCAGCCTGGTCTACAAGAGCTAGTTCCAGGTCTACTCCAAAACTAGGGAGAAACCCTGTCTAGAAAAACCAAATATATATATATGAGCTAGTTAGGAATACACCTAAGTTATTGGCCAAACAGTGTTGGAATTAATAGTTTCTGTGTGATTATTTTGGTCTCGGTGGCCAGGAACCAAAAAACAGTCTCTGTTTACAACAATCTCAAATGGTCAAAAGACACTTAAGGAAATGCTCAACATCCTTAACAATCAAGGAAATGCACACCAAAACAGCTCTGAGATACAGTCTTGGACTTACAGAATGGCCAAGATCAAAAACACTGATGACGACTTATGCTGGAGAGGATGTGGAGTAAGGGGAACACTCCCCCATTGGTGGTAGGAATGGAAACTTGTACAGTCACTTTGGAAATCAGTATGGTTATTTCTCAGAAAATTAGGAATCAACCTTCCTCAAGACACAGCAATATCACACTCGAGCACATACCTAGAGAATGCACAATCACACCACAAGGACATTTGCTTAGATATGTTCATAGCAGCATTATTCGTAACAGCCAGAAACTGGAAACAACCTAGATGTCCCTGAACCAAAGAATGGATAAGGAAGATGTGGTACACTTACACAATAGAGTACTACTCAGCAGTAAAAAATAATGACATCCTGGGCTGGAGAGATGGCTCAGCCGTTAAAGGCTAGGCTCACAACCAAAATAATGACATCCTGAAATTTGCAGACAAATGGACAGAACTAGAAAAAAAGCATACTGAGTGAGGTAGCCCAGACCCAGAGAGACAAATATAATATACTCACTCATAAGTGACTTTTAGACATAAAGCAAAGAATAACTAGTTACAGTCTACAACCCCAGAGAACCTAGACAACAAAGAAGGCCCTATAAAAGACATACATGGATTCACCTAGAAAGGAGAAAAAGACAAGCTCTCCTGAGTAAATCGGGAGCATGGGGAGCAATTGGGAGGGTGGAAAGTGAGAATGGAGGAAGGAAGGGGAGTGTGAAAAATGTATAGCTCAATTAAAAGCAATAAATAAAATTAAATTAAAGAAAAAGCCCCTCAGGAGTGCTCAACAACTTGGGTTTTAGTTGATTCCAGGTACTGTTAAGTTGGCAACCATAATTACCTATCACAAGTCCCCCCTTGTCAACATGACACTCAGTCACGTCTTATGTCATGACTAATTTCCAAATGACAGCAGCCAGGTCGTAACTCCACCTAAGAACTATTCCCCACACAACCACAGACACATTATACATTTTCCAATAGTGGCAAAGCCCCGAGGAATGCTTAGTGTTTTAGTGTCTTGTGATTTAAATTTGGTAGCATAGATTTTAGGCACTTATCCACTGATGTTATCTCAATCCGTTACATGTTAGAGGAAAGGAAACACTTTAATAATACATGTACGGTCACACGAACAAGTTCTTAACAAAATAGGATGGAGGCATTCATGCCAATTATCCTTCTCATTTCCGCAATTGGTTACTTGGCCTTTGCTGGTACTTACACTTCTACTGTTACTTCTGTATTTCCTCCACTGTCAATAGGTCTGGGCTCTTTTCCTGGAGAAGTGATCCATACCTTCATTCCGCAACTGTCAGGGCCCTTTGTCTTTCCGGCACAATGGGTCACATTGTGGTTTCCAGTGGCTTTAATCACAGGTCGTGGTAGGACCAAGAAACTCCCCAGAGGAGGTCCTGCATTCCAGGCATACTGTCTCTTACCACCGCAGTGGCTGACGAAGCAATCCCATCCCCCCCCCCCCCCAGGGTAATTTGAATCAATCACCCCTCCTAACACTACCATTCCTTTCTTAGCCTGTTGTTGGCTTAAAGTATCAGAAGCCAAAAGTGGGTGGAAGGAGATGGGGAATCTGGCTTTAGTTCAGTGGATTGCTTGCTGTGTCTTTTGGCAGGAGCACTCTCCCCTCTGAAACCAAAACTTCTAGGCCTTCAGAACTTAAGATCTTAGAAACAGGAAGCAAAAAATTTCCTGCTGAGTCACTAGAGGTGACGGTGAGTGGAACTATTCCCTTTTTCCACCCGCTTAATTCCTGGATCTGTGAATCCTAGCTAAGGGGAGAACTGTGCCGCATATAAGATGTCGATTTAAATATATGCTTCTCTCTCGAGAACCCTCCCCGGCCCTCTAGACTGCCGCCACCTAATTGGTGCTGTAACTGTGTCTTTGAAGGGCCACTTCACTCATATCAGACAAAATGCTTTTAGGCGGGTGAGAAACACGGTAAGACCAGTGGATTTCATGATCGTGGGCCCACCGTTGCTCCTCTCTGACTGCCGAGTGAGTTCCTTGGTCAGAAGCAATACTGTATGGAACACTATGACTGTAGCTAAGGAAGGCGTTCTGTATGTCCACAGATGCTGGTTTGGGCAGAAGCATTACGTGTAAGGAAAGACAAATTCAAAACCAGTATAATCTCCTCCATTAAGGACAAACTGTCTTTCCCATGAAGAAAGTAGTCCAATGTAGTCAATGTTAGGACTCAGGCACTATGCTGGCCCCTGTCACCAGGCAGGATACGCTCCTGGCAGTAACCTGGCCAGCCCAGGGTCCTACGGCTGCTACATGACTACACTACAGAGTCTGTATGCAGGTGCACAAGGTCCTTTTAAGTGCCAAGCTCTGCCTACGCCTGCTCTCTTTGCCCATCATGAGATCTCTGGCTCTCACCCGTCAAGGTCCACCTCGCACCTCGGCATCTGCTAGATGGTCCCCCTGGAGAATGGTATTGTTATATTAGGGTCTCAGTGTTAGTCTCTGTGGTTGTCAGATCTGGCACTTAGCGGTAGCTGTAGTCACACCACCCTTGGTGAGTGGAAGTCTATGTCGTCAAGCCCACACATAACCTCCATCTCTGTCACCATGCCCAGTTTCTTCATGGCCCCAGAGGACTATGACAAGGATGGATGGGGAAAGAGGCTGACTGTCCACAGACCAGGTCATTCCCTCTACTTGCTTACTGAACTCCTCCTCTGCGGATGTCGTCTTTGGATGGGCATTTACAAGGCACAGCCGTATCTTCACATCCTTTGCCCATTTGTAGAGAGCTATGCGCATACTTCTCCAGATATCTTTCTCACAATTTCCTAATCTGCTCTTTCCAGGTCTCTGATCCATCCTGCCAATCTACTGGCTAAGGCTCATGAGTCAGTGAACAATTGCTCAACTGGCCATTTCTCATTTCAAGCAAAATGTATGATCATGTGTACTCCCAAAGTTCTGCCCATTTTGAAAATTTCTAACTAGCTCTTATAGCTTAAATTAACCCATTTCTATTTATCTATATGCTGCGGCATAGCTTGTGGTTTGACCTCTCCTCTCACGTGTCCTGCTTTCTCTGCCTCCGGCTGGTGACTCTGTATCAGAGTGTCCTACAGGCCTGGTGCCAGAGAGATAGCAAGCAACTCCCCTCCCCTCTAGTCATAACCCCCCTGGGCCATACTTGGCCTGGCTCCAGAGTTGTCAGCCAGCCCTAATCCATCTCCTTTGATGCAGATACCTTTTGTTGCCCTATGTGAATTTTGTCTGAGAGTTTCTCATGGATATAAAGCCTATACAAACTTGGTTCAGAGCAACCCAGAAAACCGCAGTACTTCCTGAATCAGGTGTTTGCACTTGGCACTGAAGTTTTGGGAGTAAAATGATGGGCTGGTATCTTTAAGGCTACTGGCTAAAGGAGCAGAAGGAGTTTCCACAGCAGAGCAGCCTGCACAGCTGTCCTGCTGCAGAGCCTTCTCCTGTTCCAGGACCCCATACTCACACCTAGCATCTTTCCCATCTTTTTGGTCTATGAGCCAGCATAACATTCCCAGGCGAGGAATGTGCTATCTCCTGAATCCAAATAGGACAACTAAATGCTGTGCTTCTTTCTTGGTGGTGGGCAGAGCCAGGCTCAACACTTTGTCCTTCCCCTTAGAAGCCATATCTCTGCATGCCTCATACCACTGAGGTAGAAGGTTCACGAATTTTGATTGGATTTTTTTCCCACCCTCTGACGTACATATATTTTACCAACAAGTCCAAAGTGGGTGCTACCTCTGGTCACTTGATCTAATCAGCAATAATGTCATTAATATAGTGCACTAACGTGACTTTTTCTGGAAGAGACAGTGACCCTCATCCCTTTGGGGGCTAGAGAGTTGGCTCAACGGTTAGGAACACTTGCTGGTTTTGCACAGGATCTGTTTGTTGTGTGTGCAAGGCCTAAAGAGAATGCTGGATCCCCTAGAACTGAAGTCACAGATGGATGTGAGCAGCCATACCACCATGAAGGGTGGGAATCAAACCTAGGCCCTCTGGAAGAGCAGCCCCCACTCTCAGAGCTAGAACTCAACATGTAGACATGTCTGGTCCAAACAGCAAAGTTACAGACCTGATGGAGGAAGGTCATTGGGTAATTAATAAAGAAACTGCTTGGCCTGATAGGTTAGAACATAGGTGGGTGGAGTAAACAGAAGAGAATTCTGGGAGGAAGAGGAAGTGAGGCAGATGCGATGAAGCTCCACCCAAGATGGATGTAGGCTAGAATCTCCCTGGCAAGTCACCACCTCGTGGTGCTACACACATTAATAGAAATGGGCCAAGCAGTGTTTATATGAATACAGTTTGTGTGTTGTTATTTTGGAGCATAAGCTAGCCAGGCGGCCGGGAGCTGGGTGGCAAGAACGCAGCCTGCTGCTCCTTTTACACAGACCACCGTTGAATACAAGGGCAATTAAGAGTCTTTTCTTAGCTGGGCAGTGGTGGCACATGCCTTTAATAAAAGCACTCAGGAGGCATAGGCAGGTGGGTCTCTTTCAGTTCCACGAGAGTCAGGGCTACACGGAGAAACTCTGTCTCAGTAAACAAAAGAAAGAAAAAGAAAAAAGAGGGGCTGGCGAGATGGCTTAGTGGTTAAGAGAGTACTGACCCAGGTTCAGTTCCCAGCACTCACATGGCAGCTCACAATTGTCTGTAACTCCAAGATCTGACACCCTCACATAGACATACATGCAGGCAAAAACACCAATGCACATAAAATAAAAGTAAACAAATTTAAAAGAAGAAATAAAGAAAAAAAGAATTCATTTTTTAATTAAAGCCAGCAACTGAGGGCAGGTTCCTACCACCAGGAACTCTCAACCCAGAAGTTGGGCAGTGTAGGGTTTACAAAGCTAAAACCACAATTGCATCATACCAGGTACAGGCTGAGGGATTTCTTTTTTTTCTTTATTCTTTTTATTTATTTTTATTTTTTTTAGTTGGATTAATTTATTTCTATTTATTTATTTATTTATTATGTATACAGAGCATTCCTTCCATGTATGCCTGCAGGCCAGAAGAGGGCACCAGACCCCATTACAGATGGTTGTGAGTCACCATATGGTTGCTGGGAATTGAGCTCAGGACCTTTGGAAGAACAGACAATGCTCTTAACCTCTGAGCCATCTCTCCAGCCCCGGATTAATTTATTTTGAGACAGAGTCTTTTCATGTAGCCCTGGAAATCACTATGTAGGCCAGGCTGGCCTTGAACTCAGAGATTTGCTTACCTCTGCCTCTCAGGTTTCCAAGTGAGGAAGGAGGAACCCTTTGATTGTTAAACATCTTACAAGCATTGTTTCTCAGAAGGGAGAAATCAGCTCATGCAACAGGATGTGGTAGCAGACAGGAGGAGGTGTGTAGTCAGGGTGACCCTTCAAACCATCTAACCTCATCACAGAAATCTCTCCCTGGTCTCTGTGTTGGTAACAAGGGCATGCACGGCCACGCCAGCTTAATGTGTTTCAGTGAAGCCCACATCCCTGTTGTTAGGTGTGGTAACTTCTCTTTCCTTCTGAGAAAATGTCTCTGAACCCACTACCTAATCCTATATGAAATACAAGAAGCTTTCAAAGACTTTAAAAGTAAAGTGAAGCCGGGCGGTGGTGGTACAAGTCTTTAATCCCAGGACTCTGGAGGCAGAGGCAGGCAGATCTCTGTGAGTTCGAGGCCAGCCTGGTCTACAACGTAAGTTTCAATGATAGCCACCATGTGGTTGCTGGGAACTGAACTCAGGACCTCTGGAAGAACAGCCCACCTGATTTCTTCAGCCCACCCATCAGTTCTTATCTATGTGGGTTTTGGGGGTTCAGGGCCTCAGGTGGCAATCCCCCTCACCTGCTGAACCATCTCTCCGGACCTAGATTAGGATTCTTCAACACCATGTGTCTGTCTTCTTCCTTAGTGAGGGGCTACTCCTTCTTATGGTCAGTTGCCAAGGTTCTACCCAATGTGCAGAATGTCTGTGGACATGGTTACCTACATACAGGCAAAACACCCATCCACATTAAACAAACAAACAAAACCTTGATCAAGAACTTACTTCCCATTGTGATAATAAGAGCAGTTTTATGTCTGTGTATATGTCCATGACTGTGCAGGATGGAGGTTACCCCTAAGATGTCTTACTGAAGGCTACCTACTATAACATTTTGAGACATAATCCCTCACGATGGTTCCTTGAATAATCACCTCCACAGACTCATATTTGAATGCTTAGGAAGTGGCATTAGCTGTGGAGTTGTAGGAGGAAGTTTGTCACAAAGTGGCTTTGGGGTTTCAAATGCCCAAAGCAGGCCTAGTCTCTCTTCCTACTGCTTGCTGATCTTGCATGTTGCTATGCCAATAGTGGACTAAACCTCTGAACTGTAAGGCAGCTCCAAGCCCTAGGTCTCCACCTCTCCACCTCCCCAGTGCCTTTAAGCCCCAGGGATTCAACGCTTCACCAACTGAGTGCCTCCTCAGCCCAGCTTTACCTTTTTCTAGAATGGTCTCACTATGCAATGTCAGCTTTCCTAAACTATGTAAAGCAGCCTGGATGACTTGCAGATCCACCTGCCTCTGCTGGGATCAAAGGCACGCACCACTTTGACTGCTCAGCTGTGTCTTAAATAAAATGAGAAGTAATCACTGTTCAAGGTTTATTTGGTGTTTTCGTTGGCATGACACTTGGGTAGTCGGTTGCATCATCCATATGAAGATCTTTACACAATATTTCAATGTACACCACAGATACATAATACACAAAATAATATCCTTTGGAACAGTTATGCACAAGATATGCATAATGGATTTACACACTGGAGCCAGGTTATGACTAACTGGGAAATCATTGGCCTAGGCATGTCTGGTGAGGGTGCACAGCACAGACACAGCAGGTTCACAGGGTAACTGAAGCCTGCACACAGTTGGCAGTGTCACACCAACCAGGTTACCACTACACAAGTACCACTTAGCATCAGGGTAGAGCTGTGGGAACACAACCACCCTAACCACAGCTCAGCTGAGGAGACAGTGTGCTGCAGCCTGGACAGTGAAGCGCTAGGACATCTGGGGACTTTTAGAACTGCAGCTCTTTCTGGATCCCCCAGAGCGTGTCTGCACTCTTCTTCAAGCGGGCCTCCTCTTCAGAAGTCAGAGTCACCTTCACAACATCTGAGATTCCATTTTGTCCCAGGACACAGGGGACACTGAGGAAGACATCATCCTTGATTCCATAGAGACCCTGGACACAAAACAACAAGAGATTGATTTGTCTACACATCCTCAGGTTTCCTGGGGTTTAGACCTTCCACAATTATAAAGCTCTTTTTTTTAAACGAGTGCTGATCTATCCTAGTCCAGAGATGCCCAGCTATGATGTGATAATGAACAGTGCAATAGAAAGTCATCAAGACAGCAACAGCTAGGCTTGGCACATGCCTGTCATCCCAGTACGGGAGAGCTAGAGGTAGGAGTTCAAGGTTATCCTCAGATACATAACAAGTTGAAGGCCAGGCCAGTAGACATTACCTAAGACCCTTGCCTCAAAAAAGCAAAGCAAACCAAAACCCAAGTCTTACTAACATACACAATAAACCACACTTGCCAATTTCTGTAAGACCGGTAACTGAGCAGGGTCTCCACCTAACTCAGTGTAACTTAGATACTTTCAGTGCTGACGGGACATTAATTCCACAGGTCAGCTATCTTTCCAAAAGAAAATCATGAATGGATGAATTTACTTCTGTTCAGTCAGTGACTGGGGGCTTCCACTAGTCTGCTCAAGATTTTGCAAGGCCAAGAAACAAATCTGTAATGCCTCTGCAGACCCATTACCTTAATCATGGTGGAAATGGGATGCACCCGCCTCAGATTCTTCATTATGCTCTCTGCCAAGTCGGCCACAGAGAGGCCAATGGCCCAGGACGTATAACCTTTCAGTTTGATCACCTCATAGGCGCTGTGGAATGGGAAGGATGGGAAAAAGGGAAAGAAGGGTAGGGAAGGACAAGGAAAATAACGGCTTTACCAAACACATTTTATAATCAATAATACCACCAAGACATGTTATATAGTTAAGCAGGACCTCTGACAGTAAGGGCAAAAGGAAGGCAAAACGTTTAACACCCCCACAATTGACTAAGTCTTGTATATTGATAGAAGAAATATTACATTGTCAAAACAACAACAAAACTAGTGATTCTCAGAAATGAAATATGGAGGAGCAGGTGAGAGGGTTCAGAGGCTAAGACTAGGACTCATGGCAGAAAAACAAAAGTGAAATAGTAATTGGACCGGAATCGTATCCCGTGACAGAATGTGTTCCTAGCATGCATGAGACTCTGGTCCCAGCACCTCAAAGAAAAAGTGTGGTGTCTTGAATGAGATGTTCTCCATAAGCATAGGGCTTTCAAACATTTGCTCCACAGCTGATAGCTTTCTGGTGAAGGATTAGGAGGAGGAGTCTCTATGAGTTCAAATCCAGCCAGGGCCACATAGATAAAGTGTCTAGAGAAACATCCCCCCAAAAAGAAACGGAAAGAATCTGGAGCATACTTATACCCATACTATCCAAATAAAGATGTTGACTGTCTTCTATTAGTATTAGCATAAATAAGATAATTTTTGTTACAAACACCCTATCTCTGGGGGCTGCAGAGGTAGCTCGGAGGTTAAGAGGACTGGCAGCCCTTCAGCACCTAGGTTTGTCTGTAACTCCAGTTCCAAGGAATCCTGTGACCTCTTCTGGGCTACACGGGTACTGCATGCATGGAGTACAGAAGCAGGCAGGCAGGACACCCATAAGTACATCTTGTAAAGAGCTCTAAAGACCTTTCTGAATGAATTAATGTATCGTCGAGGGTAGAACTAACTTGTTTGAACTTGCTTTCAAAGGCCTTTTTGTGCGTGGCAAATCCGTTTCCAGCTGTAAAAGTGCTGAACTAGGTTCCATGGGGATGGAACACCTTCCATTCCATCAAGGGAATGGGAGGATGGCAAATGTCAAGAAACCAGTGTCAGCACCTCCCACCTGTATTTGGTGCTGCTTTTATTTTAGTTATTTTAGTCTTTTTGTTTATATGGTTAAATTAAAAAAGCCCTCAAATGAAATGCTTTTAAACATCGTAACCTTCCAGATAGACACACTTTCAGTCTCTTACCTGTCAACCACCTGCTTGTGAACCTCCTTCCACTGCTCCTTGTCTGCATCGGAGCCCAGTTCTGGGTTCAGATTCTTCAGGGAGACACCAGCGACATTCACGCCACTCCACACAGGCACTGCAAGAAACCGGCAGCTTACACCACTGTTTCCACACCACAGCAAGGCACAGTAACTATGCACCCCCCACCCTGAGCCACCTTTCTACCCTCATCCTTTCAAAGATGGTCAAGATTACCAAAGCCTTAACTTTTAGAGCGCATAAAAGCAAGAACTGTCTTCTTTTGTTTTGTTTTTGAGACAAGGTTTCTCTGTAGCTTTGGTGTCTGTCCTGGAACTAGCTCTTGTAGACCAGGCTGGCCTTGAACTCAGAGATCCCCCTCCCGAGTGCTGGGATTAAAGGCGCGCGCCACCAGTGCCCGGCTAAGAACTGCATATCCTAACCTGCTTTCCTAACCTACTGAAACGTGTGGGCACTTACATTCAGTAAGAAAGCATTCACACTGGAAACGTAAGAATCTGAGGATCACATAGACATAACTAGATTAACTGCAACCCAACAGGGTTCCCCCACATCAGACCTGGCTGATCTTGTCAGGGGCAGGGGATTCAAGTCAAGTTTAAACTGCTGCATGAAGCAAATAAATGAAGTTATCCGAAGAACCGTGGTTAACATGTCCAGGGGCTGAGGGCCTAGCTCAGCAGAGTGTGTGCTTAGTACATATGAGTGTCCTGGGTTCAATCGCCAGCATAAAGATGAACCATAGTGGCTCAGGCCAGAAATTCCCAGTCAACAGAAAGGCTGTACTGTTGAGTTCCAAGTTAGCCTGGGATACAGAAGAAGACCCTGCCTCAAAATATATTGAAATCTACATGTTTGCCTACACGCCAGAAGAGGGCATCGGATCTCATCACAGATGGTTGGGAACTGCATTTGGTTTCTGGGAACTGAACTCAGGAAGAGCAGCCAGTGCTCTTAATCTCTATGGCATCTCCCCAGCCCAAGTTCAAGAGTCTTATTCGAAGCCGGGCGATGGTGGCGCACGCCTTTAATCCCAGCACTCAGGAGGCAGAGGCAGGCGGATCTCTGTGAGTTCGAGACCAGCCTGGTCTACAGAGCTAGTTCCAGGACAGGCTCCACAGCCAGAGAAACCCTGTCTCGAAAAACCAAAAAAAAAAAAAAAAAAAAAAAAAAAAAAGAAAGAAATAAAAAAGAAATGCTTAGATGTTTGTACTATCTTTCTGTTTTCAAAATGAGAAAATGAACTGATATTAAAAGACTAACCACTGGAGTCCCCGTGCTCCCCCAGGACCCATCCGTGACAGCTCAGTGGGTGAACACCCAGCCTTTCTCCCATCAGGTAACGGAACCGAGCGGAGTCCAGATTGCAACCACTCCCGATGACTCGATTTTTGGGAAAGCCACTTATCTTCCAGGCCACGTAGGTCAAGATATCCACTACAAAAAAAAGAAAAAAAGAATTTAGATAACAAAAGACTACAGGACATGATTTTGACACCGCTACAGACAGTTCAGTATTTTTTTTAAATATTTATTTATTAGGTATACAGTATTCTTTCTGCGTGTATGCCTGCAGGCCAGAAGAGGGCACCAGATCTCATTACAGATGGTTGTGAGCCACCATGTGGTTGCTGGGAATTGAACTCAGGACCTTTGGAAGAGCAGGCAATGCTCTTAACCTCTGAGCCATCTCTCAGCCCCGACAGTTCAGTATTTTTGTTAGCATTTTTACTATATAACTCATGTCCAATTATTCAAAAGCATTATTTAAAACATTGCACCAATTAAGACAGCATTACTCAGTTACTTCTCCAAGACCACGAGTGAGAAACTTTGCAGCTACATTCAGAGGCATTTAATGTTCTAGATGAACTACTTTATAAATTAATGAACGCATGCACACATATCGCCATGAACTTGAAGACGTCTGGAGCATCTGCTTCGCAGCTGCCTCACCTGGGTTGGAGACAATAAGCAGCTTGCAGTTTGGACTGTATTTCACCACGTTGGGAATGATGAACTTGAAGATGTTCACGTTGCGCTGGACCAGATTGAGCCGACTCTCTCCCTCTTGCTGACGGGCCCCCGCTGTGATGATAACCAGCTTGGAGTTTGCAGTCACGCTATAGTCTAGAGAAAAGACCAGAGATGGAGATCCCTTCAGGGAACTTTGACCTACCCAGCAAAAACTTGTTCCGTAAACCTTGTACGCAGCAGATGTAGACCTGTTGATGTTGTTCAGATCTGTTTGGATGTGCTGTTTCTAAGTGTGGCCTCTTAAAGACTGGAAAGGTAATACTGATGCCTTTCTCACACTGCACGTTTAGCCACATTTTATCATAATGGGAAGGAATTCAGGTTATCTCATCCTGTCTATATTTCTTTCTCCCCTGCTCCTCTTGAGGCATGCACTACATTCCTCTGCCTGGCCTTAAAGACATGCACATCTCTTTTCAGCCAGTCGCTATTGCGCTGAGAGTCCAGCCGTCTTCTCTACCTTGCTTTCCTCTCTGTTCTCATTTGCTCCTGCAGGCTCTGTGGCACAGGGCGGCTGACCCAGAGAGTTGCCTATTAGGTAAGAGGTCAAAGACTTTCAACCCTGGGTTCCTGGCTGGTGGCAGCTAAGTGTAAAAAGGTCACATAAAGAACTTCAGCTGCACAGGCCTCTAAGGTGAAGTTCTGAGTCTGTGTTAGCTAGCACTTGATACATGCAAGCCAGAAGAACATTTAACCACTTGCAGTAAGGCAGGTGGGGCTACCACTCAGCAGCTGGAGCACTTGCCCAGGGCTCTATCTTAGCAACACACACTTGCTACAATGTAGATTCAGAACTTGATACCTACTAATTCATATATTTCCATATATGTGCAATTAGGTTTCCTTAATTGAAGCCTTGACAAGGATTGAGCTAGTGCACCTGTCCCCCAAGGCCTACCCTCCTGCCTTGAATGAAAGACAGAATTGGAGAGGTGGGATTTCAGGCCTAAGAAAGAACTTGAAACTTAAAAATCTAATATGGACTAAAGGAAGGTGGCCCCAACCAACCTTTGCCAGAGACAATTTTCGGTGTTCTAAGGAAAAGGCTGCCGTGCTGGAGATCCATCATCTCTCCCTTCAGTTTGTCTTCCATGACATCAACAAGGGCAAGCTCATCTGCCAAGTCCTAAAAGACAAATGAGAAACTTATTGAGGGTTTTCAGGACATGCACTCTTCTGTATTCCAGGCATAGGAGTCTCTGTCAGGATACACTGGAAGTTGAGGCAGGCCATTCAACTCACTGCTTCCCAGATGGCGCCATGCAGCAGACTCTAGTCTGCTCTCCTGCAGCCTCCCTACTGGAGGAGCTTTCTGTGGAGGGCAGCTAGTCACTACTGTCCAGTACCATACTGTTGCCTGGCGTGGGCGAGACTATAAGACAGAGGGGAGAGACCCAGAACTAATAAAACATGCAAAGCCAGGTGCAGCAATGCACACTTTAAAAAGCATCACTTGGGAGCCATGTACAGTCAAACCCTGTCTTCAGGTAGAGAAAAAAACACGGGTGTGTACACAGGGCTGTAAGCTGCAAAGAGAAGCCCTGTCTCAATCCCCTCCCCACCTATATACACACATACATGTGTGTTTTAAGCTGTCAATTTTTTAAAAAGATTTTTATTTATTAATTATGTATACAGCATTTTCCCTACATATATGCTGCAGACCAGAAGAGGGCGCCAGATCTCATTACAGATGGTTGTGAGCCACCATGTGGTTGCTGGGAACTGAACTCAGGACCTCTGGAAGAGCAGTCAGTGCTCCTAACCTCTGAGCTATCTCTCCAGCCCAGCTGTCAATTTTCTTATATATAAACCAGGTTTTAGTTAATAATATAACATCCTTTAATGACAGGTGTGAAGTTGCATACCTATAATCCCAACACCCAGGAAGATGAGACAGGAAGATTGCTTCAAGTTTGAGGATAGCTTGAGCTACATACATGAGAACCAAGAACATTGGCCCGTCTCTAAAAAGGTTTTCCAACTCAATTCTAAAGTCATCCAATTAACCAGTTGGAGATGGTTTACGGGGTGAAAGCACTCCGCACACAAGCTCGATGAGCTGCGTCTGACCTCCAGAACCCAGAGTAGGAGAAGCCAGTCACCACCGACCTCCACACATGTTGACTTGTGTGTGTTCACACACTTTTTCCCTCCATGGAAAACTGTAGCAAACCAGGGAACAATCGGTTTGGATAGAAGTTCAAGGTATCCCATTCAGTAGGATTTTAATTTTTACCATATATACATATAAATTTCAATTAAAAAATTACTTTCGAAGTGGGCATATAGTTCAATGGTTACCTAGCTAGCATGCGGGAGACACTGGGTTTATTCAACTCCCTGCACTGAAAAGGTATAATTAAAGGGACTCTTCTTGTTCGTAGGACATGCGAAAACACGGCAGGGCGTTTTAAATAGGCCTGGGTCTGATACCCTCTGATACTGTTACTTTGGATAATCCTTTTTGTGTATCACTATGTTGCAAAATGTTTCACAGGCAGGCTCCTTTGAGTGAATGCCTGAACCTCAAGTTTTATACTTATATGTCATAATGGAGAGGTGCTTCCCCCACGCATGAGCTTGTGGCATGAAGAACCCCCACTTACCTTCATTAAGATACTGATGGCACAAGCCATGCCAACAGCACCAACCCCAACAACCGTAATCTTGTTCTGGGGGGCCTGTTCTTCCTTAAGGAGATTCACAATCAGCTGGTCCTTGAGGGTTGCCATCTTGTCGGACTTTGAACCTTTTGGGACCTAAGGTGGAAGCATTTCGTGTCACTGAGGCCTCTCCAAAGTATAATCACCAAGTCGCAGCCTTACTTTGCATCCTTTGGACTACTTTCTATTAAACGACAACACGTGACTAATGAGCGCAAAAGTTGAAAAAGTGGCCGTGCAGCAAGTCCTCACCTTGAAATGTAAAAGTAATACCGAGGTCTCCGCATAAGTGTAGCCTCCTGAGGACTTACTCATTTTGATTAGCCACAAAAGGGGAGGGGTAGCCTCTCCTCGAACAAGATCAGAACTGCCCTCCCACTTTTCGCTGAGCACCCAGAATCCTACAGTAAGTAGGGTGTCAAGTTGCTCCAGGAAGTACCAAAAATCAAGAGCAGAGGGCGCCAATTAACGGCCACCAGAAGCGACCCTAAGGCAAAGCAACGTGCTGAGCCCTGCGCATGCGCAGGCTCGCCTCGCCCCCCCCCCCCCCCCCCCACAAGTTTTATGACCAGCCTGGATTCGTAGGACTGACAGGACGGACAGGCCGGTGCGCAATTTCGGAACAGGGTAGTAAGAGGAGGTTTGGTGGCTGCTGGCCATGGATGAGACTGCCAAGCAGGCAGCTCGGGATCAAACTTCGGACCTTATTAAAGCCCAAAGCACATGTAAGCATCCTGAGGGCTTGCCGCCAGGGTCAGATTTCAAATGCCAATACCAGGAACCAGGTGCTTTTAACCACCCACCCGCCAAGGCGGAGCCTCGTTACCCAGGATGAGGCCGCTAGGAGAAATTTACAGTTACGGAGGATCTAAGGCCCGGAGCCCCCAGAATCACGAGGGGCACATTTCCCCCAGCAAGCCCTACACCTCTCTTTGAAATCGTTCCAAAACACAAAAGGACCGGTCAAGATCTCTGGGCAGGCAGCCCAGGGCCACCAAAGCTGGAAGCCGGTCTCCTTACCACCGCTGCTATTTCTAGACATTCTTAAAGGGTTTCTGCAGGCTAAGAGCAGGAAGGAGGAGCTCTTCCTGCAGAGAACCGGCCTCACCCAAACCTCAGTTCCGGGCTTCATTTGGGTAGGGCGCGTCTACTTCCACCTGTGACCCTATGGGTGCCGCGCCTCAGCTACAGGTTTCCCCCTTCTGTCTGGGGTGCAGAGGGCTGTGACTCTTCCAGCTCTATCTCCGTACACAGCTTACCGCGATCCCTAAACCCACCAGGAACCTCGTAATTTGGCCCCAAAGCGCCCTACAATTTGCAGAAAGCACCCACTGCGCCAAGCCTACGCAAAAGGAAATGCAACCCTCACGACTTCTCACAAGTACCCACCCGGACGCGCTGAGGCTTTTTCGGTCCCTATGGGCTAGAGCAACTGGACCTCAAGATTAACCTGTTGGGTCCTTCCCACCCTTCAGACCAGTCACCCCCTAGGCGTTCCCCAGCCACCAGGCTCGCCGCCCCAGGCAGGGTGCGGTCGCCTGCTCCGTTCCCTAGAGCGCAGTAGCCCACGCGCGCGGACCACTGACCAGGCCTGTGGACCCTGTACCTCCACCCCGAGTAGGGAGCTCCCGTGCGGGCAGCGTGGGGCTCAACCATACCGCTAGTGCACGATGAGCAGCTTCGGGCGCACAGCAGCGTGGTCGGGGTTCGGCTACAGAGGCTCCAGCACGCCGAGCCGCTCGCGGGCGGGGCCTTATATGGAAGCTCGGGGTGACGTCAGGGTGGGAGCCCAGCGGACGTGCGGGAACCCACGTGTACGCTAGGCCGGGGACGGGCGTCCAGCTGGGCGGGGCCCTGCTGAGACTAGTGCAGCGCGCGCAGCCCCACGGCCCCACGTGTGCCGCGACAAGTCCAGGAACTGCCAAACTCACATGGTCCGCAGCCTCGGAACCAGGATCCCGAAAAGCATCGATCCTCGCTTCCTTTTCCGTAAAACTTGTGGGACTTGGAGAAACCCTGGTCACGTTGTCCATTGCTGTTCCCAGCCCTTTCTGGCATGCAGCAGGCTCTCAGTAAACACTGAGGGAAAGCACATGCCATCCCTGCATAGGGCCTTTCTCCTGCTACTTCCAAGTGCCAAGCCAAGAGGGACCCCAGCTTCTGAGGGCTTGCGAGTGACTCGGGTCTGTACCTTACCACCCCATCCCACAGGCATTTGTGTTTCAGCCTTACCAAACAGCATCTGCGCCCAATTTTCAAACCCCCTCTGTCTTTAAACGTTATTCTATAGGCCTTTACTTATTACGGGTTCCTATTTCTCGCCCAGCCACTCCTTCATCGTGTGTGAATCTTCAGGTAGTCCACCACTGGGACAGGATGTAAAATATAATTTGCAAATGCCCTTAGTGATAGGAAGGACCTCGTGAATTGTGGCTTTTGGCCCAGCTCACCAACCTCCCAGGAAGGGAGGTGTTCACTGAAGATGAAGGGCTATTAAAATCTTGAGCAGTATTTGAAGGGTTTCTGGTTTCGGGGCGCTGGAGCTGCAGCGGACACTAACTCCCAGAGAGTATGACGCTCAGAAGACCCTACTTGCCCTCTGCCTGTCTTACATCTGGTGCTGTCCGTCCGTTGTGATATCTTTTATAATAAGCCGAGCAGTCTAGGAGTGTGGCCAGGGCCAGGACACTTGCCTTGTATGCACAAAGGCCTGGGTTTGATCTTCAGCAGAGCACAATAGAAATAAACTATTAAAAGTCACAACAATTGGACCTGGAGAGGTGACTCTGCCATTAAGACCACAAAAGCTTGTAACTCCAGATCCAGGGGATCCAACATCCTTTTCTGGCCTTCACAGAGCATCCCTCCCCTATAAACAGTAATTTAAATTATTTTTTTAAAAAGTCAGAACAAGGGCTGGAGAGATGGCTCAGTGGTTAAGAGCATTGCCTGCTCTTCCAAAGGTCCTGAGTTCAATTCCCAGCAATCACATGGTGGCTCACAACCATCTGAAATGCGATCTGATGCCCTCTTCTGGCCTGCAGGCAGACACACAGACAGAATATTGTACTCATAATAAATAAATAAATAAAATATTTAAAAAAAGTCAGAACAAGAGAAATTAAATTCAACTCTTAAAATAAACAACAAAGGTGTGTCTATGAGTTTAAAGAGCCAGCCAAGCCATTGGTGAGGCTGCGGGGGGCTGTTGGGAACACCCCAGTTTAAAGTAGCTGGGCAGGAGAGGACCTCTTACAAGATTAAGCTGTTAAGCCGGGCGATGGTGGCGCACGCCTTTAATCCCAGCACTCGGGAGGCAGAGGCAGGCGGATCTCTGTGAGTTCGAGACCAGCCTGGTCTACAGAGCGAGTTCCAGGACAGGCTCCAAAGCCACAGAGAAACCCTGTCTCGAAAAACCAAAAAAAAAAAAAAGATTAAGCTGTTAACCTGTGCGGTACAATGCTCTAAGTGGAGCGTAAGCTGAGGAAGCCCTGTCCAGGTTCATGTGGGAGGAAATCGCTTTATGTGGAAAACACATGGACACACACGTCTGTCCCCAGGGGTATTCTGGGGAGGGATGCTTGTTTTTCTTATAGCCACCTGTATACCCACAGAGTGGAGAGTCCATCTTCACACACACACACACACACACACACACACACACACACACACCTTGGCCTGTATACCCTTCAGGGACCCCATTGCAGTTAAGGGGGTAGGGTTCTGCTCCCTTTCTGAGACACAGATGGGCCTACTTCCTCTCTGCACTATTCATCAGCATCTCAGGGGCAGCTTCCAGAAAGGCCCATAGTTGTGGGGTTCTGGCCTATGAAGGGAAAATTCACCCGGCTTCCAGAAAACCAGGCCATCTGTTTAGTTGATTCTAGATGATACTGTTGGATGCCCAGAGACCACAAACACAGATGAGGGGTGGGGCACAGGTTGTCCCGAGGTAACTAGGGACAGGGCAGCTTTCAACAATAACTCAGGTGTCTAGGCCTGTGGGACAATATCCTTATTCAGTCAAGGATGGGACCTGTCAGCTTGTTAAATATGTCCCGGTTGGAAGGAGGAGACTGGTGGAAAGCCAAGAGTGGATTGGGGCTGAGAGCCTTGCAGGAAAGACCTATGAAGGTACCTCAGGCAGGTTCGAGTCCCCTACATCAGAACACCCAGCAACAGCCACTCCAGGCATAGCCTCCCTCGTCCAGCACATCAGCCGCTTTCTGACTCCAGGATGAACAAGAATGGCATTTGCAGGGGCCAAAGGTAGGCGTCTCCTCGTTTGCCTTCACTGACTCTTTGAGGTAGACAAGAGCATTCCCATTTTCCAGATGAGAAAACCAGGACTCAGAGAGAGTACTGACTTTTCCAAGCCTGTGCAGTTTCTAAACGATTTCAGCCAGGACTTTAACCTGGCACTCACTGACTCAAAGCCTGTCTTTCTCTCTCCAAGGCCTTATGCTCACAAAACCCTGCATAGGACAAGAAACTACCCAGGGGGCTCAAGCCAGTCTTAGGTGCAGAAGCCACGTAGGTGGCGCTGGGTGTCTCTGCCTATCTGCCTGCTTCAGCAGTGACCTCCCCTGGGCTGATGCTATCTTGGTTCTGATTTTCGGATCCGTCCCAGCTTTTCCGAGTCTCCAACTTGGAGATGGCAGATGGTGGAACCTCTCAGCCCCCACAATCAAGTGACCAAGCCCTCACAATGAATCTGTGCGCTCTGCTGTCGCTTCTGCTTGCCTGGAGAAATGTGACCAATACGGTCTATACTGTAGACCTGCTACACCCACACTGAACTCATAAAATGGTTTGGGAAACCTATCACAGAACAGAGCACCTGCCTGGGCCCCGCCAGCTCTTCTTTGGGTACAGTCTCTTTAAAGGGAAAATCTACAAAGAAATCCTTCGACTCAGGTACTGTCTGGGCTCAAGGAATGGCTGATACCCAGCATGTACTGTGAGGTTTTTCCTAAGATAGGCTTAGCCAAAGGATGGTGCCCACCCGAAATGGTACCGTGTCTCTCTTCCACTGGAGTTCCAATGGCCTCCAGTAAGTCCTTGAGATCAAAGTCCAGTTCTTGAACCGTACATCAGATCCTGCATAATGCAGTACCTATAGCCCTCTCTGACCTTATCTCCTACTTTCCTTTGTACTTTCTGTGTACCAGGCTCAGGGCCACTCCCCCATCCCTCAAGCATATCACACACCGCTGCACTCCCTCACATATGTATCGCGCACCGCCCCACTCCTCACACACGTCACGCATGTATCGCGCACGGCCCCACTCCTCAAACATGTTACACATGTATCGCGCACCGTCCCACTCCCCCCACATGCCACTCCTCACACCCCTCAAATGTATCATGCACTGTCCCGTTTCCAGTCTTCCACCCAGGCAGTTCCCTCTACCTGAGTACCCCCTACCTTGTCACCAGACCTAACTACCCGAGCCCACATAGTCAGAGACCGAGTGCTGTTCCTTGAACTTTGCATTGGCTCTTGTCAGTAGAGCGGTGGTGGCACACGCTTTTCATCCCGGAACTCGGGAGGCAGAGGCAGGCAGATCTCTGTGAGTTCAAGGTCAGCTTGGTCTACAAGAGCTAGTTCCAGGACAGGGATCAAAGCTACACAGGGAAACCCTGTCTCGAAAAAAAAAAAATGGGGGCTGGAGAGATGGCTCAGAGGTTAAGAGCATTGCCTGCTCTTCCAAAGGTCCTGAGTTCAGTTCCCAGCAACCACATGGTGGCTCACAACCATCTGTAATGAGGTTTGGTGCCCTCTTCTGGCCTGCAGGCATACACACAGACAGAATATTGTATACATAATAAATAAATATTAAAAAAAATTTAAAAATCGACGCTTGTGTTTGGGCATCTCTCCGTGTCACCACACTCTGTGAACTAGTGCAAAAGGAGCTTTCCTGCTCATCTCTATAGCCCTGGCACAGACAGTTTCTGTTTAACTTTAATTTTTATTTTACATTAAAGGGCTACTATGTAAAGGGGCCATATTAAGTGCCAGGGATACAAAATGAGCAAGACAGTCAGCTGTGGCACACACTCATAGTTCCCAGTTACTCATGAGGAATAGAAGAAGCTGGGAAGATAGTTTAGGCTCATGAGTTCGAGACCAACCTGTACAACATAGCAAGCTCTGCCTTCTAAGACCGAGATAGAGGGACTGACAACATCCTCCTCAGTAGTAAAAATCCAAGATGGAAGCCAGTCTTGGTGGTTTACACACCGGTGATCCCAGTACTTGGGAGGTAGAGGGAAGAGGATCAGAAAGTCAAGGCTAGCCTTGGCTACACAGTGACTTGGTCTATAAAATAAGCAAACAAAGGCAAGCAAAGCAAAATAGTATCACAGTACCAGAGGAGAAAGCACCAGCTGAGGCCATCCAAACGATGAAACCAGGAAAGGCTTTCTGGAAGAGGCAGCTCCAGAGCTGGGTGAGAAAAGGATTTCAACTATGTGGATTAAACGTTGAGAAAGTGGAGAAAAAGGAATGAAGCAATGCTGAGACCACAAGCTACATGGCATGTCGGGTAGTCTTTAGCCTCCGGGGTCAGGCTAGAACGCTGATTCGGGTTTTGGTGGTCAGAAGTCACTGAAGTTTCTAGAGAATGGGAAAGACAGGGTGAAAGCAAGGTGTCTGAAAAGCTGTCGGAAAGAGGGTACCTTGTTTGGTGACCATACACAGCACACATACAGAGGACATGTGACTACACGGAGGCCTGTAGCCACATCTATCCAGGACCCTCCACACCCCACAGCCCCTCTGAACACTCACTGCCAGT